ACTTTATCTTATTGAATGAAACATATAGTTATTTTTGGTTTAAAATTAATAATTTCATTAATATACTGAAGAGAGTATTTTTCTCAATAGTAACCACATTCAAATTAAAACCAATATATAATACTACTTTGGTAAAAATAATTTTCATTCACATTGAAAAAGATTATTAAATAAAGAGATACAACTTTCATATTTTGAAATATTAAAAAACAAAAAAAAATTAAAACTAAAAAAAAATAATGGAATTTCACACAAATTTTCCATCACATTTAATTTATACAAAATTACCATGTACTCCATTAAGTATTACATGTAATGAAGACTGTACTGAAGCATATATTTGTGATGAATTGGGTACATTATTAATATTTGATATTACAAATCAAAAAGTATTATATAGAACGCAACTTCCTGATGGTGCGGTTCAACTTCAAATATCACCCAAAGGAGAATACCTTTTTGTGTTATGTTTTAATTCAGTAAGAAATAGAATATTATATATTTATCGAGTTATTCGTCCATTTAGATTAATTGAAATTGATGTAATACCAAATATATTTGCGATTGCATTACTAAGTGATTGTTCAACATCACCAATTGATTTTGCAGCATTATGTGATGATTTTGAATCAGTGACCCGATATTATTATGGAAATACAGCAAATAAATCATATGAAATTGTTAGTCAAAAACGTCTTCCTTTTAAAGCACGATACTTTATTTCAAATTCAAATTATTCACAAATTTGTGCTGCTTCATTAAAAGAGTTAATGATATTATCATCTAATTTAATAACAATTAAGAAAGAGGATTTACCTTATATTGTTGCAGGAGTTGCGTTTTCAGGAAATGAATTATTTACACTAGCTGGTTGCTCTTTAAAATGTCTTGAAGATGAAAAACGAGATATTTTTTTACCATTTGGAATGCCAATGGTAGTTCAATCACATAAAATACATATCATCGCTGCTGATAGAAATAAACTTTATGGAATTGATACAAAAAGTGGTAAAATTTATTTTGCTACTCACCTTCCTGATAAAGTCCTTATTCGTAGTGTTCATACTAATGAAAAAATGTCAACTTTTGCTATTCAATTAACAGGCCAACCTGTGCTTATTTCTATTATTTCTACTGAGGCAATTCGTAGTCGTGCTGGACTTTTAAACCCAATAGAATTAAAAGAAACAATTAAACTTGTATTTAGTAATATTCCTGAAACTGAATTATTCCGTGCTATTGCTGAAGCACCAGTTTCTGTTCCAACGTCAAGTTTTTCTGTTTACGTTGGTAATTTTAATGAAATTTCAGCTGATGATGTTAAAGAAGTATTTCAACAAAACTTTGGTGGTGTTATTAAAGTTCGTCCTAAAACTGGTCATTGTTTTGTTGATTTTAAAGATGACACTTCAATGAGAAATGCTCTTAGTAAAGAAAAAATCTCTGTTAAAGGTCATGATGTATTTATCAAAGTGGCTCAAAAAAATGCCAATGCTAAGAGATAATTTATTTTTTATTATTTTAAGTTTGAGCCATTGTTATTGTTCGTTCTTCCTTTTTACTTCAAGTTCTTCTCATTTTTGGTTAATTACAAGTCTTTTTCATTTATCTTTCTTTTATTTCTGTTTTAATTAATAGGAATTACTTCTTAGCAGAGGTTTTAATTATTAAAAAATTATATTTTAGTGTAGTAGACATAACTAATGAATAGTTCATATCAATTAAAACTTTTTATTATCAACTAAATTAGAATTAAAATAAATACAGATTATCAGATAACTGTAAATTTGATTTTTATTTCTTATATAAGATAAACAAACAATTTTATAAGTGATATAATTCAATATTAATTTTATTATACTGTTTTGTTAAGAATTGTTTTATAATAGAACAATAACTGTAAATAGAATGCAACTGAGATAAATAATCAATTTTATTTGTTTATAGTTATTGACTTTTGAATGAAAAAATGTGTAACACTTATGTTTTATTTAATTTATTATTCTTTTTTCAATAAAAAAAATATTATTCAATTTAATTTCATATTAACAATTTTATTATATATTTCACATACCAAACATGTGTTTTTATTCTATCCTACTTGTTATATTTATATATTATTTAAAATCTTTCACTCTTTGTTTTTTTTTTCTTCTTCTTTTTTAATTTATCAAAGTTGCATGGTTAATTATTATATTAAGTTTTTTATGTAGTGAGACATTTTATTAATTATGGTTATTCAAAGTTTTTCAATAACCAATACTCTGAACGGCAACGAAAAAAAGCAAATAATAGAAAAAGAAAAGAAGAGAAAGATATAAAAGAATAAAAGTAGAAAGTGGAATAAGATAATAATAAAGAAGATAAAGAGTAATAAAACAAAAGAGATGACAAAAGAAGAAAAGAAAGAAGAAATAAAAAGTGTAATTTTAATGTAAAAATTAGAAATATTCAATAAAAAGTGTCTAATTTAATGATGTAAAATGATTAACAATATTTTATTGATGAAAAATATTTTATTCGTTTTATGTTTATTATTTATATGGATAATTTCATCATGATGTTTATGATATAATCAATCATATGTGTTATTATTATAACATATAATATTTAATAAAATATAAATGAAAATGATATGAATATATGATATAGAATATAAAACAAAAGAATAATAAGAATAAATGATAAATAAAACGAGAAATGATAATAAATGATATAATAATAAAATCAAAGTATAAAAGATAAAATTAATATTAATATAAAACAAAAGAGAATAAATATAAATCGAAAATAGATATAAATGATAAGAATATAAAAATGATAAGGATGAATAAACATATACATCTAAATAGAAAAGAATAACAATAAGAAAATCTAAATAATATAAATAGAAAAATAATAAAATAAGAATAATATAATAATATATAGATAATAAGAAGAATAGATAATATACATATTATAAACAGAGAAATAAATATAAAAATACGATAGATAAATAACATATAAATAAAATAATAAAAAGAATACAAATAATAAAAATAATTAAATATGATTCATCAAATCATCTATTTCATTAATATTTCATACAAAATAAATATAAATGATTATAAAATATAAACATAAATATATACAGATTGTATATTTATCATACTTTTTATTTATTTTATGAGTAAAATATAATAAAGTGGAAAAATCTAATGATGCAAAATATTTTGCATCTTTTTTTCATTTTTATAAATTATTTAAATGCATTATTTCTTTGCTAATTTTCGTGCCTATTATGTACCAAACACCAAAAACAATTATAATAATTACAAACAATTATATTTGAAGAATTATCAAAATGAAAGAATGACAATATTGAAAAAAATGATAAGTGCAATATTTAACAATAACGCAATGATGTTTAACAACGCAGATGATTAAAACAATATATTCTCAATGAAATAGTCAATGAAATCAAAAATAAATGAGATAAATAAATGACAACTATATTGACAAGAAAATGAGACAAAAATTGATAATAACAAAAGAATAATGGATTGAAATAGAGAAAGAATGTTAATATTCAGAAATGAAAATAAACTAATGAAAATAAACAATAAATAAGCATTGAGAGATAAAAGAAATAATATAAATAGAAAAGAAGAAAAGATTGAATAAGTTGAATAAGTTGAATAAAGAAATAAAAGAAATAAAAAATGTTGTGATAAAAAGAAATAAGAAAGTAAAACACAAATAAGAAAATAAATAAAAGAAAGAATAGATGAATGGAATTAAAAGTATAATAAGAGAAGAAAGATAGTATTAACAATTATTCATAATAAATGAAATGAATAATGGTTTTAATAAACAAATAACATGTATGAAGAAAGAATGAAAATATAGATAATCCAGAAATAAAATATTCAAATAAATAGAATGAAAAATATAAAAGAGTCAATTTATTCAACTTAAAACAACAAATCACTCACTGTATTAATAATATACTCACACAAACACCCGATTGAATAAACATAAACAAAGAAAATAGAAAATAACAAAAATGATATGAAAATACAAAACAATAAGATAAAACAAATAAACAAACAGAAAACACAGAAATAATTATATAGTTAAAACAATGCATAATATCAGACATAATTAAACAAAAAAACATTACAGAAATATTAAACAACAGATTGAACATCAACAAAAATAAATGTGAAATATCTAGAGATATTGTATATGAGTTAACAAAAACAAAAACAATTCACTATCCAGTTGATGAATGAAATGTAAATATCATTGAATTGTTCAACGATAATACATGAATCAAATATTAAAACCAAATAAAATGAAACAACATCTAATAATAGAAGAAAGCAACAAAAAAATAATGTAAATATGCTTATCCACTTAATTATATGAATAAATAATAAACTAACAAATCAATCATGATGGATTTGCTTCACTAACAAATGAGTTTGATTGGAAATATACAAGACAACTAGAAATAAAGAAATTAATTAAATCACTGAAGAGAAAAGGAAATAACAACAAATAAGAATAAAATTCAAAAGAAAAGAGAAAAATTAAGAAAAAAATAACAAGGGGATGAATAACAATTTTAGAAAATAAAAAAAGAAAAGTCAAAAAATACGGAATAATCGAAAGAAAAGAAAAACAAAATAAAACAAATATGTCGTTCTTGCCATTTGGTACAACTACAGATGAGTCAGATGAAGTTATAGAACTTCAATTTAATGGAAGTGGAAACCAACCCATTGTTATTGAACAACATAGTAATGGAAAAGTGATGTCATTAGGATGTTTAATTTTTGTGATAATATTTTGTGGAATCAATATGATTATTTGTTTGTTGTTCATTCAAATGATATGAAAGATACAAATGTTAAAAGATCAAATAAATAGTGAATAAGAATAAAAACAATTAAACAAGAATAAAAGAAACAAGTCTTAAAAAAACAAACAAAACAAAAAAGATAATTGAAAAAGACTTATTTTTGTTTAGTTAAATACCAATCAAATTCACCATCATATTCAATACCATTTTCCCTAGCTACATTTTGAAAAACTTCTCTCCAAAATTGATACTTTGGTTCTTCTTCAAATCTAAGACTTCTTGCATAAGAAAGAAATGAAGCAAATTCAACAGGAAGATTTTCACATAATTCTTCTAAAGGAATTTCCATTTTTTTTTTACAAATTTTATCAAATTTTTCAGTATTATTTTGTCTATTAAAACCTTGCCATGGTAATTTTCCTTTAAGAAAATAAATAAACATATATGCTAAACTTTCTAAATCATCTCTTCTACTTTGTTCATATCCTTTATGATTATTAATAGACGCATATCTTGCTGTTCCTGTTAATGATTTATCTTCACTATATGCAATATGTTTTCCATTTTCAATGTATTTTTTACTTAACCCAAAATCAATTATATATACAAAATGAACATTTTTACCACTTCCCATAACAAAATTATCCGGTTTAATATCTCTATGAATATATCCTTTTTTATGAACATGTTCAATACATCTTAAACATTGATCCACAATCATTAATACTGTTTTTAATGAAAATGGATGTCCAACATATTGAAAAAGATCTTCTAATGATGGTCCAAGAAATTCCATTACCATTATATTATAATCATCTTGTTCTCCTGAATAATACACTTTTGTAATTCCTGGGGGATTTGTTTCTCCTTCTGCAAGATATGCATAAAGTTGTGCTTCTGCTTTAAGTTGAGGATGTTTGCATTTTTTTAATTCAATTTTTATAGCAACTGATTGTCCTGTCTCTAAGTCTGTTCCTTGAAAAACATCTCCAAATGACCCTCCTCCTAATTTCTTTTCTAGTTTATATCTATCATGAATAATGAACTCTGCATTTCTTGCCATTTTCTTTTATTTCTTTTTTTTTTTCTTTCTTTCTCTTTTTTTATTTCTTTTTATTTCTTATTTCTTTTTCTTCTATCTTTTCTTATTCATCCATGCACCAAGTACCACGACAACTCCAACTTGTTATGAATCCCGATTTGAACTCTCTTGCTTTTCTTGTATTTCCTTTATTCTTTATTCTCTTAGCTATTCTTATTCTTACTCTTTTTCCCTTTTTAAAAACTTACTTCATTCCTTCTCATTCTCACTCTACTAAATTAAAAATTGGTATCTCTTTATCTGACGCTTATAGTGGAAATACTATCAAAAGGACTATAAAACGGAATGTTCAATGTCCAGTATGTAATGGAAGTGGTGCTGCACATTCACATGCCATTCATAAATGCTCAAAATGTGGGGGAAAGGGGGTGGTTAAGGAAAATCTAAGAATGGGATTATTTACCTATGAACATTTAATTACTTGTCCCATTTGTGGAGGAAGTGGAAATGAAATCACAGAAAAATGTGAGAAATGTAATGGTAGTGGAAGAGTGTCTGAAACCACCGAATTTAATATTACCATTCCTAAAGGTAGTAAAACGGGGGATATTCTCAAAATAAAAAATATGGGTGAAATGGGTAGTACGCTTCTTTTATTATTAACTGTTAATGACGAAGAGAAGAACTTTAAACGTCAAGGCGATGACTTATTAACTAACCTAACAATTACTTTGAAAGATGCACTCTTAGGATTTAAAAAACAAATCCCCCACTTAGATGGTCATCAAATATCCATTGAACAAAACGGAGTCACAAGTGATGGTCAAATTATTCGAATCAAAGGTGAAGGGATGAAAAAGAACTTTTTATTTAATGGGGATTGTTTAATTTCTATCCACGTTGATATGCATTCAATATCTCCTGATCAAGCACTGAAAATAGCTAAAGTATTAAATCAAACTAATTAATTCATTGTCCATCCATCTCTTTTTCATTCATTTGTAATGTTAATCAATGGTTTAATTAATGAATTTTTGGTTAGAACTTTTTGTTTTAGGGATTGCAATTAATTGTCTTTAAGCGTTTTTTTGTTTGACTCTTTTGTCACTGAAAAAGGAATTACAAGTTAAAAAATTGAAAAGTAAGTGAAGTGATTTACTAATTTACCTGTTATTTTTGTTGTATTAGAAAAAGAACCTTAAAGAGAATAATGTACTAATCGAATTATCTATTTTGATCAGATTAGTTAGCCATTTGTTTTTGACCTTTTAAAATAAAACTCTGTTTCCTTCTTTGTTAATTGATTATTTACAACTACATATGAGCCTATGTGAAACATAAAATTTAAGATAAGTAGAGTCAATACTGATGGTTTTTATAAGAATTTTTATGGTAGTTTATTTATGCAAGATAAGTTAATGGTAAAACGAAATTAAACAATTTTTATGATGATACACTTCTACCAAATGTAAAAACACTATAACAACATTAAAAATACAAAGGATAAAATAAATGAAAATGAAGTGTATTTAATTATTTAATTTATTCGTTGTTCATTGATGTAATTATTCAACTAAAATGAATAATGTTAATTTATCTGTAATTTTTCATGTTGAATATTTATATTTCATAATGAATGTGTTGTTTATATTAAATAGAAATGATAAAACAGAAATAACAATAATATTAATAATGAAATATTATTTTTAATCATTTATTTCATTCTTTTCTATTTCATTTATTAAATGTAAATATTCTACTTTGAATATTGAAAATTAAATAAATCATAATTTCTAACAATTGTTTGTATTTCTTTTATTCTTTATTTGTATTATTTTCATAACTCTACAGAAATTGATGAAGAATATCTTAACACTCTCATCAATAAAATAAAAGAAATGAAAGTAGAAAAATGTACTAACATTAATTACTACTTTCAAAGAAAATAAACTGACAGATTGATAAATGAAATTAATAATAGATGGATATGGTCAAGAAGCAGAATGCATGAACTGCAAGATGATATGAAGAGGATTTCAATGGTTATGCACCTCTATCTCCAAAATAAAATAACAAGAGATAAATTTGATGAAATAAAAGAAATATAAAGAAAATTAATAGACTAGAAGATTTGGTCAAGGGAAGAAATTGTAGAGAATCAAGTGCAACATGAAATTAAATGAACATGATGAAGAATGAATAAAAGTCAAAGCACTAGAAAGAATAAAGTACCTAAAATATATGATGACAATGATCAAAGAAAGAATTAAATTTAATAAAAATGAAATAATCAGAATCAATACAAATAAAATCATGTTTGATTCTAACAAGAAAATTAGAATAAGGAAGAAACAAAAAATGAAATATACCCAAATAACAATATTACTTTAGAATAATGGAAATCGTTATATGAAACACAGGTGATATTAAATAAAGAGAAATGGAAAATAAAACAAATCACCTCGTGGAATGAAAGATATATCAATTATGATAATGTCATTATAACAATAAATGAATTAAATTTAAGTATAATGAAAATAAGTAACTGGAAAGCACCAGGAATAGACATTATATATGGGTATTATTGGAAAAGGATGTCATCATCAAGAGAAATCATTCTCAATATCTTCAATGAATGGTTAAACTTCCCTGAAAACATCCCATTAGATATGATAAGTGGAAGAACTTTATTAATCCACAAAGGAGGTGATAGGAATATGGATGTCACTAATTATCGTCATATCAGTTGTACAAATGTAATTATGAAAGTATTTTATTTACCTCCATATTAAAAGAAAAGATTCACAGAAGACTTAACATGAATTGTGAATCATTTAAAATTAGTAGAAATCAATTGGGATGTAAGCTACAATCTTTAGCTGCTAAAGAATGAATAATTAATAGTTATATGTTAAAGCAGAAAAAAGAAGAGAAATACCCAAAATATGTGGAGTCATATTATGACATTAAGAAAGCATATGACACAGTAAACCACGAATGGGTAATTGAAACATTAAAATATTTTAATTATGAGTGTGTCATCATTGACATTATTGAAAGTATGATGACTAGACTGAAGATATTCATTGGTTATAAATTTAATGAATATCTATGATGTATTAAATTAAATAGAGGAATTTTACAAGGTGATTCCTTATCAAATCTACTCTTCATCATTCAGATGAATGTAATTTCTCAAATCATCGAAGAGAAATTCCCAAAAACAAATCACACATTATATATGGATGAAATGAGAATAATGACAGAAAGTAGCGAAGAAATGGGAATAATCCACTGTGAATTTAATGATAAATACATCAAAAAATGGAAATGGCATCAAATAAGTGGATATTTTAGAAGATGATTTGAGTCAAAAGGAGTAGATAAAACTAATACAGTGAAAGCATGGAAGTCCATCAATATTAAGAAGAATGCATTTCTCCAATTAACTAAAATGCAAGATGGAGCAATATTTTGTGGGTATAGAAAATCAAAAATAATGAAAAATGAAAGATTGAAATACTCCACAATTTGTAAAGACAAGATAGCTACAGTAGAGCACATTCTACTATCTTGTATTTATCATAATAAATCACAAATAGAAAAACATGACAATATAGGTATTATAATATGGGAGGGATTAATAATAAAATATACAGGAAATAATCAATATAAAAATACAATATGAAACAACATTCAAATATAAAGACATCACAATGATATGGAACAAACAAATAATGCCTAAAAGTGAATGACAATACCACAAAAGACCAGACATATACGTATTAGATAAAAAGAACAAAACTGGTCTATTATTTGATATGACTATTGTGGCTGATCACAATATTAATGGAGCCTATTGGAAGAAAAGAAATAAGTATAAGGAATTAAAGAATAGGCTAATGAAAATAGAAAAATTAAAAGATGTCAGAATAATTCCAGTAGTAATTTCAATAAATGGAATAATAAATAACTCAAGTGTTAGATTAATTAAAGAATTAAAAATTGAGATTAACATCAAGAAAGAAATGAAAAACCTTGTCATAAAAAACATGATGGATGTCATGGAATACTACTTCAATCAAAATAAAACATACTCTGTAGAATTGCTAGAAGATGAAGAATTGGCGGGATTAGTCTCCCCTGAGCCAGGAACAATAGAAGCTAGTTCTATTAATCTTTAATTAAATGATTTTATAAATTATTTTTAGTGACACATTCTTATATTCTCTTATTTCTCTATTTGACCTATAAAATTTACTAAGGATATTATTAGTCAACAAAATTAATTTATGATATTGCATTAATGATTATATATTTATCTTTGGTGAGGGTTCATGGCAACCTTTGACATTTTGTAATAGTAAGAAACATCTAACAAAGAATTTTCTAACTCTTTTTTATTTAATTGTCATACTTGATGAGTTTATCGTAAAAAAATGTGTGTATTACCTATATTTTATTTATATTTATACTAGCATACTTCCATTTTATACTCTTTCTTGTCTTAGTCACCATAATTTCATTTAATTTTCTTCATTTATTTAAGGGTTATCACTCTTACCTTATAAGCATTATTATTAATACAAAAAATTTTGTTTTATTTGTTGGGATAGAAAATGAAAAACAGATATACCCAGATTATAAAACTACATCAAAGTTTTCGTTTTATTTGACTATTATTAAAATTGCTTATGCTTTATACTTATTCCTATTTTATTTCTTTTTGTTTAGATTTAGAGTTAAGGGATACACTTTTTCCAAAACACATTGAATATTCAAAATAATAATTTTTGAAGAGATGAATTGTAAAAAAAAACAATAAAACAGTCATAATAATAAACTGAACTTCTCTCAGTTGGTTATGAATAAAGATTATTTCTAATGACTGATTTACTTATTTTTCTTTCATTCAAATAAATAACCATTATCAACCAACTTATATGAAATAATAAGAAACTAAATAAGAAAACTCCTAATTGAGCAATAAGAAATAAGAGAGAGGAAATAAACAACTAGTTCATAAGAGACAAAACAAGAATGGCAAGATTTAATGAAAAAGACATAAAAGATGATAATGGAATGATAAACAAAAAGATTAGAGAGAAAAGAAATAAAAGAACAAAAAAGAGGGGAATTGATAAGTAATGAAATAAAGTCAAAGTTTTGAAGATAATAAAAATAAGAAAGACATGAATGAAAGAGATATATGATAAAGAAAAGATAAAAAGAAAGAAAAAGAAGAAGTTCAATTAAGAGAATCAAGGAGTAAAGCGTGTTTTAGTTAAAAGGACAAAAGAAAAGGAGGGATTAGAACCAAAACAAATAAGAACATAAAAACCATAAGAAGAGTAAATCCAAATTTTTTACCAATAGCAACATTAGTGTTATTAAGTGATAATAACAAATGAATAATGATAAGAAAGAATAAACTTCCAATAGAAAATTCTAATACATTTGGAGAAAAAGTAGAAGATATTGACATAACAGGTTTAATCAAGTAAATAAATACTAACCAAGGGAGTGATGATGAAACTAGTAACATAAATATTGATTGAGAATAACCTTGAATAATAGCTAAATTGCCACAATTCATTCTTCCAGCATTCCAAGCATTAATAAAATGTCTCATACCATTTCCAAGGATAGAAATAATACTAACAGCAAGAACATCAGATGGTAAATTAAATATTTTTTGAAGTCTGATAGATAATAAAATTTCAATAAATCCAAAAATTGATAAATAAGATAAAGATAATATAAGACTAATTAAAGAACTTCCTTTAAATAATTTGAAAGGAATAGTTATCTTAAATAATTTGATTATTGGATAAAAAATATTCCATACAAATCCATCAACTAATCTTTCAGTTATTTGATTTTCACATAAAAGGTCTTTACAAGTAATACCAATATCAAAAGAATTTGAAACAATCATTTTATTTAAAGATTCTACCCATTCCATTCTTCTTGAACTTCTAAAACCAAATTGTTTATGATCAATAGTATAAATGTCAAATATTTTATTATCTAAATTATCACAAATAATATAACTAATATCATCAATATTAATAGATATAAGTGGTGGGGAATGAGGTGATCTATCCTTTCGAATAACTAATTCATCAAAATATAAATCTGTCCAATGTTCTGACCATTGAGATGATGAATAAGAAACATTACTATAATCAGGAGACTTAAATAATTGGAGTTCAGAATGTAATTTATTTGGAATGCCATCATTTTCAGTAATATTTAAAGGTGTTGTATTATTAAGAAAACCTTTTGATATAACAATTTCTTTTGATAATTTATTTGTTAAATAAATTGCAAGAATATAAAATAAATAAACACCAAGTGATAACCAAAGTAGAATTTGACCAATTTTTAAATCATCTTGTGAATTAAGAGACTTTGCAAAGATATAATAAAATAAAATACTAATTAATAAAATTAATGCTTCACGAATAAAACTAATTTTTGCTATTTCAATAAAATCATGAGATAACATTATTGATAACCCACTCATTATTACTACACTTTCAAATGAACTTCCTATAATAAGTGAACTTGATGTACTATAATATTTCATAAATATCAATCCAAGAATTCCAATACATAATTCAGGTAAACAACTTCCAGTTTGAATAATAAGAGGAGTGAAATAATTTGTTTTAAAGACATAATTACATATAATAGAATATTTATTAAAAATTGGAATAATATATCTGTCTACTAAATAATGTGTTCCTAGTTATTTATTTGTTGTTTTCTTTCTTATTATAATTGAACAAACCATATCCACATTGAAAAATAATGTAGAAATATAGAATAAACCCTCCATACTTTTCAAAAATTGAAACAGGAACTTCATTAAAAAGATCAAGCCATGTTTGTGTAATACTTTGTGAAGTCATTAATCGTTTTATTAGTTTTCGTATTCTTTTTGTTCTTCCATTATTCAATAAAAATTAACTCTTTATTACAATATGATGAAAAAGCACCAACTCACCTCTTTAGATGATATTCCTGATTTTGATTTTGATGAAATGATTAACCAAACTGAGGAATGTAGTGATACTAAACAACCAAAATATGCTTCAAAAATTATTGAGAAAGTACAAAAAAGAAAAGACTTTTTAGAAAGAACAAGAAATAAACGAAATGAAAGAATTTTAAATGAAGAAGAAAAGAAAGGAATTTATTCAGGAAAATCACTTCGTTTTGAAAGTAAAAGTTATAAAGATTTTAAAGACTTAGAAAAAACCCCAACACAACAACCACCTGATATGAATGAGTTTTATAGAAATATTCTTCTAAAACAAAATACAACAATAAAAGATAATTTCACACCAGAGTTGCAAAGTAGTAAAACACAAGAAAAAAAGATTAAAAATGAAGAATATGAAAGAAAAAAAGAAATTTTTAAGCAACAATATCAAACAGCTCTTAATGAACGAGAACAACAAGAAATGAAAGATATAGAACGATTAAAAGAATTATCAGAATCTAAAGTTAGTAGAAAAGATATTGAGAATGCAAAACAAAGGTATTTACTTAGAAAAAAATTGAAAGAAAAAGAAAATCAAATTAAAACAAATTAAATAATAAAATGAAGACTTAGTTTTTAATTAAAGGTTTTATAAATTGTTTTAAATTAGTTCTAAGTGTTGGACTTAAAAATTGTTCAACTTGATCAATAACATGTGATTTGTTACTTGGAATAAATGGATAAATTTTAGTATAAAATTCATTTAATAATTGAATAATAAAATTATATTGTTCTTCACTTTGAACTATTCCTTTTCTTTCATTTCTTAATGAAATAACAATTTCTGCAACAAGTTTTTTTATTTCATATTCATTTAATGCTTTTTTTATATCATTAATTTGTTTTTCTAATTTAATATCAATTAATGTATTATTATTACATTGATTGAAATCTATTCTTCCTTTTAATGCTGAATAAAAATGATGTTCATAAATTCTAAATAATATTATAAATGTTCCACTTCTTCCTAATCCAGCTGAACAATGAATAATTGGTGGTCCATTTAATTTAATTCCTTTGATTTTTCCTCTACAAACTAAACTAATAAAAAGCATATCAGTAATTTGTTTGATATTACTAGGTACTCCAAAATCAGGCCATCCTGTATAATGTATATGAATAATACTTCTTTTACTTTTTTCTATTTGATTTTCAATAATTATTTCTCTAACTTGTGTTTCCATTCTTTTAATTGTTTGTAAATCATTATAAAGAATTGTTCCAACTTTAACATTAAATTTCCCATATTTTTGTTCTATTCCATTTTCTGGAAAATACCTTGTAGCTTTAATTCTATTTTTTTCTTCATACTTTGTTAACATAACAATAATTGGAGTTTCTTGTTCCCAAACCATATTATAAAAATCTTCTATAGTTGTTGTTAATGGAGCTTGACATGAAATATATCTTCCTCCAAAAACATAATTAGCATTTATATAATCTCCTGATTTTAATGGTACAATAGTTCTATTATTTGCTAATACATTTTTATATCGATTTTTTGTTAAATTAGATGCTTTACATGATAAACTAAATTCTTCTTCTTTGATAATTGCAGTATGTTGATTAACCCAATCAAATGAATATTCTTCTATAGGAGTACTTCCATTTTCAATAGACATATTTCTGTTTTTTCTTATATCCTTTTTAAGTTCTTTTTCATTGTATAAAAAACCATATTTTTATTGTTTTCCATATTGTCCATTCATAAAAACCATAATTTCATAAAAATTTTTTCTTTGATTTATTCTTTTCTTGATTGTTTTCTTACTTATTAATTAAATAAGTTTGATATATTAGTATAGTATGTACTCATTTTACATTCTACTTGACTAATTTCTTGATTTTCTTTAATTGTCTTCATTCTTTTAAAAAGTCTAATTATGTTAGTGTTTATAATTTAGACTCCTTCTAAAATTATCAAAAAAACAAACAAATTTTGGTTCATTGATGATTCTCTTGCTCAAACCATTTCTTTATTCAAAGAAATGATTCCTTCTGATTCTATAACCATATTATCAATGAGAAGTCTTGGTATGTTTGTAAGTGTTGGTTCAATAGTATGAACAATAATTAAATTTACTTTAGGAATGAGTTGAATAATAATTTCAGCATTATTACATTTTGGTTTATATTGGTATAGATACTTTACTTTTTGTAGTTTCTTTGTCAGTTTGAAGTGTTTTAATAATTCCAAGTGAAGATTTATTATTTTTTATCTACCAATGTATTATATAAAGCTTTATAAGATGGGTTTTCTTCATTTCCAAAACTTTTTTGTTGAAGTAATTGATTCATTCCATTAAAGTCTATTTCTTTGATCATTTCATTGAATTGTAGTGTTATATTAATAGAATTAATATCACTTTCTTTATTTTTTGGATATTATAAGAATGAGTTAAGAATATATTCATACCATTTTGTCATTGTTGATTTTTCTTTATTTTCTGTATGAATTATTATTTGTGTATTTCTTTGATTTTCATCCATATATTTTTGTACTTCAATCCATTTCGTTTCTTATAAACTAACTTCTTGTTTTTGACTTTTTATTGGTTCTTTCCATTCTAATTCTTCTAATTCTTTTTTTTTTTTTCATTAACATTTTTATAAAATACTCTCCTCTGTACTATTTTCTTCTTTAAATTCATTATATTCTTCTTCAGTCTTCTTTTAGGTTGGTTTATTTCTATTTCTTCTCTTTCTTTAATTTCCAATGGTCTTATTAAAAACCTCCATGACTCTGTTGGTTCTCTAATTCCAATCTCAATTACTTTTCCTCTTTGCTCTGGTGTAATACTAATAATTGCTGTTCTATTTCTCCACCATGTAGTTTCTTTACTTAAACTCTTAATATTTTCACTTAATCTTTCATGACCCATTGATGTAAATAATAATGACCCAATAATTTCTGTTGTTTCATTCATTCCATATCTGTATTAAATATTTTATTAATCGTTTCTATCATTTCTATGGCTAGTTGTAGTGAAAACATTATATTGGATTGAATAATTTCAATATTAGCAAATAAAATTATCTTTTTTTTTTCTTTAACTTCATCTCCTTTTGGTTCTTCAAGTCACACTTTAATTAAAAACAAACAACTATATTCTAAATACTATGGTATAATCCATCCAAGTTGTCTTGCAATAAATATAACGATTTTTAATGGTTCATCATTAATAATTCTTTGTTCTTTAATAAATTGAAGTAGAATATCTAATAATATTTTATAACTCTTTTCTTTCATTTAATACAATAGTTACTCCAATATTTCATAATATTGAATGTTGTATTTGATGTATTATGAAATGGGTTAAAAGTGTTTGACAACATAAACTTCATATATTCAATATATTCAAATCCTTCATGTTTATAATAATGTTGTTCTTCATTAATTAAAATAGATAAAAGTAATTTTAATGTTTGAACTTCAATTTCTTCTGAATAATTATCATTTTGATATTTTATCATATGTTCTAATAATAGTTGAATTAACTCTGTAAGTGGAATGTCATATAAAAACATTTCATCTATTGTAGGGAATATTGAAACACATATTTGATTGTTATATTTTAATACTGATTGAATAATTGTTGAATAAACTTCATGAGTATTTTTTTCATATCTTATTAGTCTAATAATTATTTCATTTAATCAATTTATTGCTGTTTTATTGTACTTTCATTTGTTTGTTCATTAAGAATTGAAATAAAAATTGGTGTAAATTCTTCATGAATATTAATTGGTTCTTTTCTTTCTGTTATTTCTTCCACATCAATAAAACATTCCATTACCTTTTTAATTGTTATTGTACATTCTGTTAATGCTTCATTATGACTTACAACAATTCCATTACATGTCATTTGAATTATTTCTTGCCAAAAACATATTAAATCTTATTGATTCATATTTTCTAGTTGAAATGTTGTTAAGTTATTATCATTTATTTCATTTTTACCTTTGCTTTTTTTTCATTGATTTCTTTAAAATTAATTTTATAATAGGACTTTATAACCATTTGAATTACTGCTAAAAAGATTTTTCTTATACCTTTATAAAATATTTTAATTGGATAAAATACAATCATTTTTTGAAGAAGTATGTCTTATTCTTTTTTATCTCTCATAAATAAACCCCATAATGCTAATGAACTAATTGCAAAAAAATTGCAAAATCTGCTGCTTTGTTAATTGTAATTCAAACTTCCAAACGTAATTCTTCCTATTTTTTGTGTTGTTTGAGTTGGTTCAATAAATTCTATTTTCCTATAACACTTCTTGATATAAAACAAATTAATTCTTTTAACTTAAAACTAAGTGTATTTGACCTTTCTCTAAATGAAGTATATATTCTTATAATTTTTGTAACTACTACTATTACATTATTGTGACTTCCTTCTTTTAAATTTTGTATCGTTACTTCTATTCCTATTATTAATTTTTTTTTTGAAATTCTTTTAGTTGATTTGGTTCAATTAAAATAATACTCTCATTCTTTGAATCTTCTTTTCCCTACATAAATTGCTAAGTCTGGTGAATACAATCATGTGGTGTAATGTTCAATAAGTTTTTTATATGCCATCATATTAATTACAAAATTTCCTCTGGTTTAGTCTCTTACAAGTACTTTATAACAAATCTCATCAATACTTTTTCTAAATACTCTATCATATTTTTATATCTAGTAAGACACACAATATTTGAGAATTTAAATTCATTAAGAATTTTTAAAATTTCTTCATGTTCAATATCATTAACATGTGTATTTTCTGCTTTTTGAACATATAAACTTTCAATATTTTTTTCTATATAATGGAAAGACTGCCATTAATGTTTCATTTTCATCATTACTGATTCTTTTTGATAAAGAGAATTGTAAAAATCTTTGAGTTAATTCATATCTACTATTTCAATTATTGTCTTTAATCATACCTTCTTCTTTATGTCTTATTGAGTCTAAGTCAAGACATGTAAAAAATAATCATTTCATTCTTCTGCTTTTAATGCCATTGATGTAATTCCTTTAAATACTCCTTCAAGTGCAAGACTTCTTGATTTTGATTCTGTTGTTATACAAAGATATGTTTTTCATACATAAAAATAATTTTGACAAGTAATTTGTTTAAATCCCGTTTTCCCAAATATTACTACTGTTACTGAACAACTTCATAATAAAACTTCTTGTTCAATGTCTCTTGGATTTTTTGATTTTACAATCTCTTCTGATGCTTCATTAAGTAGTTTATAATACATTGGATTATTTTGCTTTACAAAACTTAACTCACCTTCAGTAAATTCACCTTCTTTTGAAATAAATTGTAAAAGTGGTTTCAGTTAGAATAACTCTCTTTACTATCAACCATTTTACTATTCATTGAACGTTGAGAACCATTCATATCTTTCTATCTTACATGTTCCTCTTTTTAAGTTCATTTTTTGAAGTTCTACAACATAACAATATCACTTTTCTTCTTATTTACTAGAAACTTAAAAAACATAAATACTATATCCTAACAATGGAAAAGAAAAATGGGGTTAAAATTGTAATGGGGGAAGTTAAGAAAGAAGGGGAAAGTACGATGTTAAATGAAGTTATCCCAAGATATTATAATTGTTGTATGTGTTGTCATTCACAATTAGATAATCCCCGAAATTATTGTGTTTTTTGTTTAAGTCAAAGAGTTGCAGAAAGAGGACAAAAGATAGATAAACAAAAAGAAGAAATAACAAAAATCAGACAACATAATCATGAAATAGAAAAGGTGTTAAGTGAAAAACTTTGTTCAATGAATAAAGAAACAGATATTGTTGCTAATACAAATGTATTATTTAACCAAATTCAACAAAATGAAATGGCAATTTCAGTTATTGAAGTGAAAGAGAAAGATGGAATTAGAAAAGCTATTGAACATATGAAAAGAATTAATAAACGTCTTATTGGGATGAAAAAAGCTATAGAAAGTACAATTTCATTAGAGTTTGTAAAAAAAAAGATTTCAAAAGATAAAATAAATATAATAAACAAATAGGAAGGAATATTATGGAATGGTACAAGAAACAAATAGACTTATTCAACTTCAAACATTTCTAAAAGAACAAATTGTTATTAAAAAGAAACAACAAATAAAACGAGTGAATGAAATAATGATGGTTGAAATAATAAAAGGAGAAAAAGGTATAAAAAAAGAAGAAGAAATAGAAAGACCAATTGAAGGAGAAAAGAAATTATATAAAATAGTCAATTTTAATATTCAATCTAATTCTAAAATGTTTACAACAATCAAAACAGGAAATTTATTTATTAATTATTTATATTTATTATTAAAAGAATATACATATATAATAGAAATACCATGTACACTTATAGTAATTAGTAAAGGAAATGAAATACCAAATAGTATTATTAGAAAATCTAATTTAAATAAAAGTGGAGGAAATGATAAAATAACTATACCAACAGTAAACTTAACATTTTCACATCAAATATTTAAAATATTTTATGATGAATTTCAACAACTTTATTGTATTCAATATAAAACACCAATTGAAGTAGAAGGAGAAAATTATGTTGAAAAGATTATTAAACTATTACAATACTTTAAGTCATTTTAAAAGATAAAGAGATAATTCAAAGATTCACAAGAAATGTTTTTTTATACAAAAATAACTAAATAAACTTGAAAAATAAAAATAATGAATGATAAAATAAAACTTCAAGAAAAATTTGAAAGTCAAGCACAAGAAATAATTACTGAAGAAATATTTTACCAACATAAAAATCAATTATTTATTGTTGGAGAAAATGGAAAACCTGTATTTTCAAGGTATGGTGATGAAACAAAAATGTCAACATTATTAGGAGCATTTTCAGCATTAGTTTCATTAACAATAGAAGATGGAAAAGAAATTGAGATTGAAGGTGATACTAAACGAATATTTATTGATATTCGTGGACCATTTATTTTTATTAGTATGAATAATAAAGATAAAAGTATTTCAGAAATTAGAAGGTATCATGAATTTATTGAACATCTCATTTATCTTTATATTCCATTAGATATTTTTGAAAAAAAATTAGAAGAAAATCCAGCATTTGATTGTAGACAATTAACTTGTTCAAAAACAAAAGAAATTAAAATGGGAATATATCAATTTAATACATGGATAGGTGGGATGATTGGTAAAGTTGAAATTGAATATTGTTCGATTAGACAAAGTATAGGAAATAGTATTAGTAATATTGTCACAGAAGGAAATATAGGAATTAAAAATAATATTATTATGGTTTTATTATATAATGAAAAGAAAATAATTAGTTGTAATGGAAAAAAAGGATTTTCATTAACACCAAATGATATGAATGGAATTATTAGTTATGGCAATGAAAATGAAGGAGATGGGGAAGTTGGAATGCCAGAATTAAGTAAATCAGGAAAATTAAAAATTTGGACTATTAATATTGGTGTATTGAAAATGGCTGTTATTTATCAAACTGAAGATTATTTTCTTGAAGTTAAAATTATCACAGAAAATATTAATCAAGAAATAGATCATTATTACAACACATTAATTGCATCAATAAATAATCCTCCTGTTCCTGATTTATACACAAATCATTTGTTATTATTTTATACTTTTATTGGAGATAATTTTATTTATTCGTCTCCATTAAATGATTTATATAAAGACAGAAAACAAGAAAAAAGAATTAAGTCTTTATGTACTAAATTATATTATGAACATAAAGAATTTAATACTGACAATTTATCTTCTTCAAAAAGATGTGCATTTACTACTGACCTTGAAACAGTTGCATTCAAACAAACTCAGAAAGGTTTATTAATTGGAATCTTTAATTTTATTGTTGACATCCCTTCTTCTATTGATTATCTAAATCAACTTGATAAATGGTTTAACTATGACAACATTACCTATACTCAATATGACTTATCTTAAAATCTTTTCTTTTTCTTTTCTTTTGGATATTTATCAATGACATTAAATTATTAAAACAGTCATATCTAAATAATACAACAAACATAAATACAAACAAAACCATTTCATCACTTTTCAAACAAAAGTTTTATTTAAAAAATTAATAATCATAATAACATTACATTGGATAGAAGTTATCAGATTGATTGAGAAATAGCGTCTAGGATAAGTAAATGAAAGACATCAAAATAAGAGCCTTACAATTAATACATAAATAGAAAATCATAGCATTGTATTTACAAAAATAAATAAACAATTAACAGGTAAAAACAAATAACCAAATTAGAATAAAGAAAAAAATAGATAAAAAAGAATTTATCTTATTAAATCAAAAAGTGTTCTATCAAATAAATAAATCAGATTGAATCGTTATTCATTAATATTATTTACTACTTCATACAAAATGAATATACAGTACAATTTGAAATGTTACAAACACTTATTTAGAATCTGTAATAATAAACAAAGAAATGAACGTCTTATAACAACTTTAGGTGTTTATAAAATTACACAATTGTTCTTCGTGATCAAATCATTCAAAATCTTCTTTGTTATAACCAGAATAACACAGAAATAATGAAAATTCAATGAATGGTGTAATAAAAGAAATGAAGCATTTGAAGTATTTAGAAATCCAATAATTTAACGTGAAAGTAATTTCTTTGGATGTTCTATTAGATTGTCTGATATTATGACAATCAATTAGTAGATTAAAAGGAAAGAACATTACAAACAATGAAAGAAGAAAAAGAACCACAAAATTACCATTACATTTTAAAATGATTTCCATCTCTAATAAAATCGAAATAAAGTAACAATTCATTGATTTATGTCGATATAAAACACTAATATACAAAGAAAAAGACATAATTATGAAAATACATGATTTGAAAAATATTTAAAACTAATAATGTATTAAATACATACATGATATAATAATGTTTTTGATATGTAGATCATCATTGAATATTAAAAATATATCAAGTGTTAAACAATGGATATGTATCATTAATATAAGACATCATTAGAGTGTTATTTTATGAAAGAGTATAATCCAAGTGAAATTTATTCTTTCTTTACTCTAGTAATAAACATTATTTCAATAAAAAATAGTAATATTCAATGAAAAATTCTAGTATTGTTATGTATATTGAACAAGTATCAATACACTTGTTAATACTCAGAATTAATCTATTGATAATTAAATTAAACAATCTTGGTAATAAAATAGACATTTACTTCAATCATAAAGTCAATATTAAATTAGTTGACACATAATAAAAAGACCATTGTCATTTTAAGCAAAGTCATTAGCAGATTCTATTATATAATTCACATTGCCTCATTACTATTATTAACTAATTGAAATTTGATTTGTATTGTTAAATGCTAAAAATGTTTGTATAGCATATTTCATGTACTGGTTTAAAATATCAAAACTAATACTTATTATAAAAACATAATAAATTGGATTGATGGAACAAAGAATTATAAAAAGAATTATCAAGAACAATTTTAAACGCTACAAGTTTTTCTATCTATATTATACATCCATTCATTTCCAATTTAAACAATTTCATGCATTTTTTATTTTCTTGCTGATACATACACATTTTATTATCTTTTCAGAATTACAGAACAATAAAAATATTCATAAAATAAAAATATTCTGTTTAATATATGTCACATCTTTATTCAATTTTAATTCTCTGAAATTAAAAACATTGTAAAAATACATTACATTATGTTATACTAAAAATATTCGTTGTAATTAAAATTAATATTATTTATGTTAATTTCATTATTTATACACTATTCGTTTCAGTTCAAGTTAAGAATGATGTATGATAATATTAATACTGTTGTGTTTAAATTTTTGTCTCATTTACATTCATATCACTCTGACTGTCTATTATATTTCAAATTTTCTTAAACAACTTGATAAAAACTAACATAATTCAACAAATTAATAAACCTTTAAGTCGTTATTACTGAAATTACTATTTTGTATAATTTTAAAAGAATAAAATAAAATTGAGTCTTACTGTGTAAATGTAATTTCCAGAGTGATAACACTTATTTTAATGTCTTTTAGTAAGAGAGATAGTTTAATAAAAAACATATCCACTTGCAGAACAAACGATGGTGTATAAAATAAATAAATGGATTGTTGAACTCAGTTAAGATAATAAACTCTTTAATTAACAACTTTTTTCCAGAAAAAAATAACACAAAACTAGGATTATTGATTTAATATGTTTGCAACTATTTTTAAGTTGTGTATAATAATTATTCTCTTCCTGAAAATAATTATTTTGTAAATAAATCAAAGACAAACTCCTTCAATCAGATTAAAACATAAAAAGAGAAAGAAAATAAGTTAAATAAAGTAGTTTTAAATACCTTATGAATATAAAATCGATCTTATTTTCAGAAGCAATAAAATTAATAATAGTATTCCAGATTTAGTAATTTCATGAAATCTTTCATTAAGTTATTGTTAAAAATTATTAGAACAAATAAAAAAAAATAAATGATATTTTATTGAAAACGATAGTTGTTATTAGATAAATTATAATAGAAGATAGAAACAATGATAGAAAATGTTGTTACAACAATAATAGGATAAAACCAGTTTATTAGTGACATTGTTTTGTATTGTTACAATTATTTAAAATTTTTTGTTTGAATAACTTCCATTTATTTTTCACAAAGAAGGAGAAAAGAAACGAACAACCAAAAATAAAAAAAGAATAAAAACATTATATTGAAGTAATAGTCAAGACAATCCTACTGTTATCTTTAAAATGAGCTTAAAAGAAAATTCATTTAGACAAAAATTCATAGAGACTTTTGTTATAGCTCAAAGAAGACTGTTGTATTCTTAAGAATCGTTGTTTCGAACAATCATTTTTAAAGTGACTGAAAAAGTTTTGGAGAAAATCTTTGTAGCTAGAATAAAAAAGTTCATCTCGAGACAACATATCTAATTCTTTATTTTGTAAAGCCTCTGACATTTCCATATGATCTTCTCCAAGAGTATATATGTCTATTTCTTCATCACTACACCAACAGTCATCATCATCACTCATCTCATTCATACCATTAGACCTACTTTGTTCCATAGCACTTTTTTCATTTGCATAAATTTGTTCCATTCCAATAAGATCAAGATATAAACCTAGTAACGACAAAATAGTTAAAGGTACTCCTTTTTCATCTCTTAGACTATCAACTTCTTCAAACTCAATTAATTGAGCTTCATACATTCCATGAATTTTTCCTTGATATGTTCCTTTTTCTTTTACCATTTCATGCATTTTAACAGCATTTTTAAAAAGTTCAGGTAAATACTGAGTAAGTTTTGTATTTAACCCTTTACAGGATATGAAAGCTCTTGCTAAAACAATTTCTAAATCACTGTTTCCCTTTCCATTACCTCTTGCAGCAATTTGAACGATTTCTTGACCAATTTTATTACCATGAAACATTCCAAGGAGTAACAAGGCTTCACATGCTTTCTTTAACAAATATTCTTCTTCCATTAATCCAATTTTAACAGCTTCATCAAGGTTTTGTAACATGAGTGATACAATATTTTGTCCATCTTCCGTTTCCATGATATTAACGTACTTTCTTAATGTTTCTATCATAATGTCAATAGACAATTCTAAACATTGAGAAGTTGCTTTTCCTGCACTTAAAGATAATAATAATAATTTCTTTAATTCATCACCTAGTGCCATTGAATATTTGACTATAACTTTTGATACCATTAATATTGTTTGTGTTGGATAGTCAGAACTTTGTCTTGAACAAAAGGCAAAAATAGTTGGTAAAGGAGAGAATAAAAATTCGACAACCTTTAAGAAGATAGCTCTGTTATTAAACAAGGTAGTAAAAATTTGAATCATTGAATTTCTAACTTTAGGAGAAAGTGGATTATGTAAAAAACAACGTAATAAGGAAGCAACTAATGGTTGGAATAATGTACCTGCTGGTGGTAGGTATCTACAATAAGCTGATAAAGCATCTAAAACAAATGGTAATTCATCTGGACCCACAGAAAGTGAATTTAATAAAGCAGAAAAGAAAGAAGTATAAAAAGGAGATATTGTAAAGTCTTGAATTGAAAGACAATGAGTGAGTAATCTTAAGAAATAAGGTAATACTATAGGACAATAAATAAACTTATTAAACGAATTAGATAAAGCAGTTAAGAAAAAAGCTAAATCTGAATATGTTGCTGAAGGTAATACAGATGATATACAAGTTAATGCATAACAAATGTCATGATCAACAAAGTCTTCATTATTCATCATATCAATTAATTGGAAATCATTTTTAACAACATTAACAATAATACTATTAACTTCTTTTTGCATTGGGATATGTGCTTTTGTTAAATAATTAGCACAAATACTTAATATTAATAATCCTGTACCTCTAATATTTACAAAGTTACGTTTATGTAATATTAATAATTGTTCTCCTTGTTCTAATAATTGAAAACTACTCATAAATAATACATTTACAGGTACTATTTGGTGAAGTATAATATTATGAAAGAAAATAATTCCTGCTTCTGGTAATGTTGTGGATGATGTTTGAAGGACATTTTGTGCGGAATTATGAGATAATGTATCAAAGGGAAATGACCAGTCTTGTACTTGACTACACATAATTCGTACAACAAATGTAACTATATCATTAACTTTTTCGATATTATACTTATGATACCAATCTAATGCTGCAAAAGCAGAAAGAACATCTACTAAAACAATTAATACTCCATCTTTAATGTCAAAAGAAAGGTCATTAACTACTTCTAATGATTGCCATTGATTATTTTGTTGTTGTTGAATAATTTTTTGAATAACCATTAAAATACATGGTAATAACTTCGTAAAGTATTTACTAATTGATTCAGGTGCATCTGAACATAAAAGTCTAATTAATGATAATGCATGATACCATGCTGGAATTGATTCTGAATTCAGTACTGATTCTAGAGCATCAGGTAAGTGTTGAAAAACCTCATTATTTACATATTCAGGACAATCTATACCAATAAATGAAATAATACTTCCAATAATTTTCATTGCAGAAGGACTTGTCTGTGTTTGTATTAATTGGATAAGATCAGCACATCCACCATTCTTAGAACAAAGTGAATTTAATATCGATCTATCAATAAATGAATAACACAATAAAGCATCTAAGACAGGTAATGTTGATGGTAATCTTCTAATAGATTCATTAATTAAAGCAAGTCTACTAACTTTGTCATTTCTAGTAAGTGCTTCTAAGAAGAATGAAAGCATTATTCCAATCCTTTGAGGACAGGTATGGATTTGAGGTAACACTTGACTAACACAAGCTGCAATGTCTTGTTGTGGTAATTGGTTTGTAACTAAATTATTCTTACAAACAATAGCAGCTAATAACCTTTGATTTGGGTCTACTGTATTGCTCAATGAAATATTCAACAATACAGGAATTGATTGTGGTAATGAATTTAATAATGTTCGTTCAGCATTTTGTCGTGTTTGAGAGTCACAAGGAGAAGTTAGTGTTTGGAGAGTATTAATAATGGTGTTTTCCTCTTGCATTGAGAGAATATTTACAGTTTTCTTTTTTTATTCTTTTAGTTTATTTTATTATAATTAATAGTTATAGTGCTTATAAGATATAATTTTTTCATTAGAATTTTCAAGTATTAATACAACTTTTTTATACAAAGTAAATTTGTTATATAAAACACAAATGAATGAATAAAAAGATTGAATTGAGAAACAAGAACTTAAAAATATAGTGAGTGGTATTGTTCGTGAAACTAATGAATTCAATGAAGAAATATATTCAAATTGACAGTGGAGTTAATTTCCTTGGATTACATACTGTTAATATAAATGTTGATCCAAATGAAACAGATGAAATAGAATTAAAAAACAGTTGTATAGCAATTTTGCTACATTCTGATTATTCTATGCAATGTTCAGTATATAGTTATATCTTAATACCAAATGAATTTACATTACAAAATTTAATTACTCCATTTTTGAATGGTGGAGGATGTATGCATTGTAGTGGACAAATAAATCAACACACCACATCTATAATTTTTAATAATATTAAACTTACAATAACAACAGCAATGACTTCGAAACCAGAAGAATCATTAAAACTAATAAGAATGAGATGTTTAAAATGTCAAAAAAGTTCTGAGGTATGGACTTTAAGAGAATCAATATATTCTATTTCATTAAATGAACTTTTACATTCTTTGGCAACAACACATTCATTAGAACATCCTAAATTTCCAACATTTCCATGTAAAGATTATTTGTATCATATTCTTGAATTTACAGGAAATGGAATTGCACTTCATTTCTCTTTATCTTTAATTCAACCATTTTCTGTTCAATCTCAATTAATTCCAGATCAAATTTCACAAAAACAACACGTTTTATCTGAAATAATTGAAATGAATTGTCATATGACAAAAGAATTAATGATTTTAAGAAAACAAATTCCTAAAGTTCAAAAGTCATTTGAAGCAAGAAAACAATTATATTCTAAATTAAATCAAATGGAAAACATTTATTTAGGTCAATCATTATTACAATTTACACCATCTGATTTAGTTAAATTTCAATTAAATTTTTATCAAGAAACTCTTGAATTCTCTAAACAATTTAATAACCAATTAGATACTTCTAAAAATAAAGAATCTTTGCTTACTAAAATAAATGAAGATATATCTAAATCTTCTTTACCTCAAATTACTGATACTTCTCCTCAAAGAAAAATTACAAAACCTCCTAGACTTTCTCTTATTAATAATCAATCAATAGAAGATAATCAATTAATTTCTATTACATCTATTCCTTTAGAAGATGAAAAATTAGTATTAAAATTAATATGGAATGATCAATTAATTGTAGAACATAATGAAACATATTTTCAACTAAATCTATCAACATTACCAACTCTTTTTGCATTTGCTTTATCTACACAATCATATAAAAATTATCTTATTTCTAATAATCTTAGTTATTCTTATAATGAATTAAATGAGTCAACAATTAAACGTGTATTATCATCAACAATTAAACCACATTTTGATTTTAAATATACTACAATAGTTGATACTATTCCAATAACAATTGAAGTTTCATTGTGTTTTGCTTGTCAATTCCATCTTTTAAGGTTATTGTATTACAAAAATTTATCAATTCCAATAGAAAATGCATGTCATAATTTCTTTAGAAGTGTAGCTTATATAACTTCAATAACAACACAAGGTGGTAAATCAAAAAGTTTATTCTTTAAAACATTTGATGAACAATTCTTATTTAAAGAATTAAAACCACCAGAATATGAAGCATTTTTAGATGGTGGTGGAGTTGGATATTTTAATTATATGTTAACTGTAGAACGTAAAACTGTTCTGGTAAGAAATCTTGGAGTTTTTTCTTCATTCATTAAAATTGGTAATAACAAAAGTGAAAAAGTTATATTCCTTATAATGGAAAATTTATTTTATGGAAAAGAACCTACAAAAACTTATGACCTTAAAGGTACTCTTAAAAAAAGAACATTAGAAGATGAAGAACTAAAAGTTGGTTTAGATGGTAATTTTGTACAGTCATTATCAAGAAAACCAATCATTGTTAGTAAAGAAATTAAACAAGAATTAATGTCAATTATTAAAAATGATACACAAATGTTATCATCATCTAATGTAATGGACTATTCTTTAATTGTTGGATGTGATGAAAAAGACAGATTATTAAGAGTTGGTATTATTGATTTTATACGAACATACACATGGGATAAACAATTAGAAAGTGTTGTTAAAAAAATAGGAGCTTTAGGTCAAAATCCAACAGTAATAGAACCAGAGTTATATCGCAAAAGACTTCTTTCATTTATCAATTCTGTGTTTATGGTTATGCCTGATGATTCATTATTAGAATAACATTTTATTTTTTAAATTTTTTGTGTTATTTTAGTTTATTTATTTTAAATAATTCTTTATCTTCAAACTAAAACATTAATAAATTGTTTAATTGAAGGGAAATAAATTATAATTAAGAACATGGTCAATCATTTGAAGTAGAAGCTGATTGATTCTCTCTATCATTTAATTTAAAAATTGAATAAATATGGTGAAGAGAAGAATTAGGAAAATCTTTTAATTTTATATTTAATTCAGAAATTGGTTGAATTGGTTTTTGTATTTCTAATACTTCACAAACATCATTAAGACATTCTAAAGGAATATTTTTCATTTTTTGAGTGAGGTAATGAATTTCTGAACGATTTAAAGGTTTCTGTGAATATTTTTTCTTCGACTGAAGAATATTATTTTCTTCTTTTAAATGATGATTAAGTTCACGAATACAATGTCTATAATAATTTTCAAAGATTTTATATAATTTTTCAGCATAAGAATGAACATAATTTCCAGGAGGGTTGAAAGTCATTGCATTAGTAAAAGTTAGTCTAACATCATTACTAAATTCATCAATAGAATAATACATATTCTTTTTAATCTTTTTTATCACTGTTCCTAAATCCATAGGTGTTTTAATAATATCAAAATAATTAGGTATATTCCATATTTCTGGATCTACTGGTTCCATAAAAACTTCACTTTCACTTACTTTCATTAATTGTTTCATAACACTCATACATAACTCTTTTTCAAAACTATTTAATGGCTCATTCTTAATTACTGGCTTTTCTTCAATTTCATATCCACTCATTGACCTTGTCATAGGTCTATGACTTGATCCTTCTTCAATTTTACTTTCTTTCTTCTCTCTTTCTTTTTTCTGTCCTTTCTTTTCTTCTTCTTTAGAGACTCCTTTAATTAGCTTTTCACTTCTCTCTTCCATTTCTTATCTTTAAGTTACAATTTTCTAGTTTGTTCTTATTGATACCATTTATACTATACTTTTATTATTTCTTTTATTTTCTTCTTAAATCACTAAAAATATTAAAATTATCATTAAAACATGGTTAATTAGTCTATACTTCATCTAATATTTATATATCTTCTATTACCTTTACTTTCTTAAAACTAATTCACATATCTTTTGATATAATAACTATTATTTATAATTGAGCTGTTATTCCTTTTTTTTCTTTTTTTGACTCATAGAACCAATTAACTTCACTTTCAATCTACTCTTTTCATTATCTCCTTTTCATAAAATTAAGGTTTTCTTAATTATATTGTATCCTTCCTCATCAATAAATATTGCTCTTTATTCTTTCTTTTAAATCATTAATCCTTAATACAATATTCTTAACTTAATCTTAATAACAATTAAAACATCAACTGTTATTCAAACTTACTAAATGTCTTGGGAAATTAATTCTTCTTAAACCCCTAAAAGAGAAGCCAATGTACCTAATGTAAAAAATATAAATTCATGTTATATATTCTTTTACTTAACATAACCTCTTAATAAAACGTATTAATAATACAAAGAAAAGAATAATTAAAATAATTGCCATAAAAGAATTGATAATATTTGAAGAATAAAACGTAGTTAGTATATCTATTTGTAAATTTTATTTAGAAAGAAAGTTAAAATAATAAAACAAACTATTATATATAAGTTTCTCATTAATGTATATACAATGTGGAATATTATACTTATTAAATAAGTCTTTAATTAGAACTTTTGCTTCATTAATGAATATTCCTAAATTTTGACTTTGTTTTAACTATTGTTTAGTACTAATCTGAATAACTACTTTTTTCCATTCAATGTTATGGTTAGATGTAATAAAATACTTTGTCTTGTAAAATAATTAATATATCTCAAATATTATTTCTGATATAACTTTTAATTCACCTTCAATTTGAATTTGGGAGAAGTGAATATCATGGACATACACACAATTCGTTTTTTAATAACCAAAACACCATGTTTTTGAATATAGACTTTAGAATGAAAATAATAGAACTTACGTCTAATTTTCGCTTTACAGAAAGTATTTCTATGTTAATAAAACTAAAAATTATTAAAGAATTTTTTCAATAAGAACAGATGAACTTTTAATTTCACAATTCTGATTCAATCCGTAAAGACTTAAAACTTTATTTTAAATGGTATGAATGTAATTAAATTCAATACTTTGAACTGACAAAATTTTTCTTACTGAAATGGTCCAATAAATCCATATGATTTTTCAAATAGTATTGTCCTTTCATTTGAGAAATAGTAACTGTAAGCTGAAAACTTGAGAAATAACTCTCTTTATCTTTAACAATTGTTGTTTCAAATGAACTTATTTTTTTATGTGAAAACATATTACAATTTTGATTTAATTTTGATAAATGCAATGAGTCACGCGTTGAAACTAAGTACTAATGATTGCATATTTTGACTCTTTCAGAGTAGTTTCTTTATTTTCTTTGTATATAATGAAAGGACAACCTCTAGAATTAATTTCTTTATTATGTCTAAGAAAGAATTTGTAAAAAATAAAACTTTCGATAAGAGACAGGTTATTCCATAATGGTGAGCTTCTATGTTGGGTAATAAGTGTTACTTTTGTGCATACAATAGATCATTCAGCAAAAGTCATAACAAAATTTGACCTTATAAGCTCTTGTGAATTATCAACAAAAGAGAGTATAAACATTGTGTTATCTAGTTCAAAATAAATCACTCTATGTAACAAAAGACTCTTCCTTAATAAGAATAGAATTTGAAATATACAAATCTCAAATTGAATATTTAAATGAGCTACAAATAGTATTTCAGAATTTATTGGATAATTAAATTAATCCTTCTGTGCAATTTAGAATTTCAAGGAATCTCTTAACTTGGCTTAGAGATTTAACTATTCACATACACACTAATATGAATCTCTCAGAGAATTATTGTGCTAATTTATAAACTATCAATATGATAAGTCATAATGTCTAGAACATACCAATTAATTAAACCAATATCAATCACTAAAGAAATTACAGATTCTTTTGTTATGATGGAATGTTTTGGACAACTTAACATATTCTTTTTTTTTCAAAATTGGATAAATGCGTCAATGGTTGACATTGGTTTGAACGAACTCATTTTCAATCAAATATGATTCTTTGTATTGGCAGAGTATTGTATGAAGAAGAGGTTTTGTTCTGATTCTAACAATACTAATAACGTTATTACCAAATTGTTTTGAAGTAACTATAAAAAGTATATCTTCATTTGACATATGATAAAACCCCATAAATAATCTTATTCTCTTGAAAGATATTTGAGAAGTCAGTTCTTAAATTAAAAATTCTGCTTATTAAATGAACTTCAAACATATAAAATTTTTCCTATTCACTAACAAGACTCTTCTTGAATCTCTTATTATGGGTGACATTGTCCAGCTTTTTCTTGTCTAGTTATTTATTATTAAAGAACCCTCAATATAAAAAACGATATTATAAACATTATTTCTTGAATGGTATTTTCATTAGTTAATTTACTAAGTAATCTTCTTTTCATACTTCTTTCTATTGACTTGACTGTTTTAACTCTATTATTAATAATTGTTGTAAAAGTACAATTAGTTTAATTGATAAATTCTATTACAGTTGTATTTCTGAAATATTCTTTCAACATTTGAAATAGTTTGTACTTATTCAATTTTTGTTTTTACTTTAAATCACTTTCAAAGAAAGATATTCCATCTTTCTTTTCAATGCCTTCACCTCTAATTGAACAACATTAATACTCTCAATAATATTCATTCCATTTAAAATAAATGTAGAAAGTAATGAAAGAATTATAAATGGAAGTGAAGCGTGTGAGTTAATAACAAGTATTTGATTTGAAAAGACAATAGTCTTATTTTTAAATACACCATTTAATGTACAAATTGAGTGAGAAAAAAAATATCAGTGTTTAAACTATAAGAACTACAAAGATAATTCTCTTTTATGAATAATGTATGTTCTTGAAGATTGTATCATTTGAATAAATAATTCAAATACATCACCAAAGAAGAAACATATATTAATTATTATTAGTTCTTAAATTTGAATTATGTCTAACCAATCAATTATCCTTCATTAGATGTTCGTGATACAAGAACTTTCAAAGAAGGTTCTGTAAGAAGAAGTGTTTGAGTATCATCAAGAATTAGCTTGTGTTTAGTAATGAATTGAGACAATGAACTTAAAGAATCAAAACACAAATCATCTTTTAATTTTTTCAATGAAATAGATGGACGATAACTTAAACATATCATTTGAATTGTTTTAAATTGCATTCGTTCTATAATAGAATAAATAACTTTTTTTAATAATTTAGGTGCTCTTTTATATATAATAAAAAACGTATATGGATCATCATTAAAATAAGCAATGGAAATATTAATTGCAATTTGAATACCAATATTTGCTTTAACAGTTTCTGGAAGAGTATCAACAATTGCTTTAAATTGAAAGAGAGAATTAACGTATGCAGTATATAATATTTGAAATGAAGTAAACATTAGTACTGACTCGTCTTCAGCAGGATATTGTAACTCTTTAAATAAATGCATCAACACACTAATACATTGATTAAACTCACTAACATCTTTATGTTGAATAGAATATTTAGCATGTACTTTATATACTAACACAGTAAAGTCATTATTAATTCTTTGGACAGTAATGTCTTGACGAATACCTTTTAATTGATCACATAAGTAAGCATAATCCTTATTCTTTTTGTATTTCATTAACACAAAATTTAATGCCGTTTTTAGGGTTTCTTCATTCCTAATTTCATCTAACTTTGGTTCTCCTTTTAATCTATAATAACTCTTTTCTAATGACTTTGAGCACCCAACAATGGCAATTTCTTGGTTAACTTTATTAGGTTTTTGTGTTTCTTTATGAGTCAGTTTAATGTGTTTTTCACTCTTTTTTAACTTTTTTGGAAATTCCTTTTTTAATGATAACCTCTTTGGTTTCATTTGATTGAAATCAGCATCAGTAAATACCACCTTTTTTTTCTCTGCAATGAGTTTATTTTTTACCCTTTTCTCAGCCTCTTTGATGGCTTGAAGACTCATACTAAAAGAAGACAATCAGTTCATAAAAAAAGAAAAAAAAAAGAAATAGTAAATTCAATAGTAAAATTTTTTATAATAAATGATTTCTTAATGTAGTGTATTGGTATTGAATTAGTTTTGCTCTCTATGTCTTCCATCATCTGACTGAAAATCAGGAACTCTTCTTGGACTTGGGTATAAAGAAAGAGAAGGGTTTTGGAAATAACTATTTGAATTTGTATTTAATTGTGTATTATTTTGAATACCTGAATAATTTGAATAAAGTAAGTTAAACATCTGGTCTAATTGATCAATTCTCCTTGTTAAATTAGTCCATTTCATTTTAGACTCTGACAACTCTCCTTTTATTTCTTCAACTTGATTTTGTAATTTATTAATATCAATACGTAAGGAAGCAACATTTAATAATTCATCACTATCACGTTTAGGCGGTTCTGTAGATAATGAATTTGAAGGGAAAAATGGTTGAAGTGTTTGTGCCAAAATGCCCTTTTTATTTTTCTTTCTTTTTATTTTTTCAAGAAGTTCAGGATGAGCTCTTTGAAAGAACTCGTGTTTAAAACATAAACCTTCTTTACAATCTAATTTATGAAATCCATAAATATTGAGTTGTCTAACGAATGACGCAATATTTGAATGTTTAAAATGTTTTGGCAATATTTCTTGTGCAAATTGTACAGGGTTATTAACACATATTGCTGTTCCTTTTAATGGTTCACTCCAACATATAAGTGAGTTAGATTGAGGAGAATTTACTAATAAATATAATTTAGCAATGAATGGGGCACAATTATGAAGAAATTCCAATGTCCCTGGTGCTTCTCCATATCCAAGTGTATTGGTATTAGTGTTTTGGTTTTGTGTTTGGGTTGGTTCTGGACTTTGTGGGTTGAAACTTTCTAATAAAGTTCTATTTTGATTTGTTGAAGGAAGTGGGATTTCCATTGCCATTATAAAGAATGTTCTCGATGTCTTTAGGATCTTATAGTTCGTTCTATTCTTCTTAGAATAAACTAGAAGAATGTTATTGTTTTGGTTATTATTTTTAATTGTCCTTTTTTCTTTTAATTTTCTTTCATCATTTTGAACTACTCACAAATTGAATATTATCAAAAATAATAGTTATTTCATTTGTCTCAATAATCTAGCCAATGAAAGAGTTGTCTCATTATTGTTTTGGGTTATAAAAGTTCATACGTTATTAATTGAAAAAGTGACACATTAACTAAAAATTCTTCATAAGTACTACGTTAAGAATTCTTTCGAAGGAAGAGGAGTTGAATTATTTTATACACCATGTGTCTTTATTCATAAAAAACAAATTAAAGAAAGGAATGAATTAGCGTAAGCAAAGGATTTAGTAACATCCAGCAATCAGATAAATAACAAAGAAAAGAATGGTAAAATCAAATTGTCATTTTCACATGTTAATTCCATTAATCCTGAAGTGATTGAAATTAAAACCAGTTGATTAAATGATAAATATAATGGGATGTATGTGTTGATAATCATTCCAAAGAAAATTGATGTAATTATGAAGGAAAGAGTTCCTATTAATGTTTTATTTCCACAACGAGTTATAGGAAAGTATTTACCACAATAACTTCCAACAATTGCTGCAAATGCATCACCTATATCAACAGTGATTATAGAAGATATAATTGCACAATGAAAATGACTTCTAAATAATAGTAATGGTAAAGTATTCACATATAATAAAAGAAAAGCAGGAAATCCTAATGAAAGATTTGGGTCTTGATGTGAGTCTCTGTATCGTTGGAAAAGTTGAGAAAGAATACCAGTTGGTGCGAGTTTAATTCTAAGAAAATCAAGAATAACAAATAGAACTACAAGGTTGTTACTAAGAACCGATAAGAATAAAGCATTTGAACGAATTCCAATTGTATAGATTAAAGCAGCAATAAAATGAAATGATTTACGTTGGACAGAAACGTACATTGGTTGGTGTGGAATAAATGCAATTACTACCATTAATACAAGTAAAAAAATCCACATTATTATTATTGAAGGATAATTTTTTATAAATGACTGAATTGTTGATGGTGCTAAAAAGAATTGAGGTTGTTGAACAAAAATTAAAAGAAAAAGTAATGAAATATGTGTTCCAAATTCACAATATGTAAATGGGACTTTAAATCTCATAAACTGAACATTACATAAAATTGAGATAGATAAAAGAAATACGAGTAATAAACATATTATATGAATGTATATTGCAGAATGACTTTTTGTAGTTAAGAAAGAAAGTGAAACATTCATTAATAAACAATGAAATTCTATCACTGTAGTATCATCATTATAACATCTAAACATCAATATATTATTAATAAATTAGAACAAAATAACAATCTATTAAAACAAACTTGAATTGTTGAAAGAATTTACTTTTTATTGAATAATGAGCAATTATTGAAAGAATTAAATCAATACCATATCCAAGCAAATATAATGGAGTAATGTAATTTTTCATAACATATTGTTTTCTATAAATTAAAGTATAACAACTGAGAGCAATTACAACAGCAATTTTTAGTGTGGTTAATTGTTTAATTTTCATTCAACTATTAACAAAAATACTGTTATAGGGTTTGTGTTTAATAAAAAATAAGGAAGAAGATGAAAAGAATTTGAAAATTAAAAATCCTTTGATTTCTTTTCAATGGCTGAGCCATATTCTGAATGTAAAGTAATGATTGATTATCCAGGTAGGATAGGTTCTCGTATAAATAAAAAGGAAGGAAAAGTATTATATTGTGAAGGTTGTTCATTATTTTATCCATTTCTTATTTATTTAATTTTCTATCATTTCTTATTAACTTCTTGTAGAAAACGGTGTTCCAAGACTAAGAATTCTTCAAGGAAAGAAAGAAACAATATTTGATTTAGACTCTCCAGATTTAGTATCCTTTAAAATAAATGCTCAAAGAATTTCTGATGGATTAATTTCATTTCAATTTTCATATTCTTATGGGATGTTATGTAATGTTTTATTATCTGATCCATTAACATTAAATGGTTTTTATAATTTGGTTGATGCTCTTGCACGTCATATTCATTAACTAGTTTTTGATTTCTACCATTTAAACAACTTTTTTTGAAAGGGTCACAAATTTGGATAATTAAAAGTAAGTAATTCTCATTATTTAATCTCAAGATTGATACTTAGACATCAATCTCAATAGAAAGTGTTTTTGTGTATAAACTCAAAATGAAATGATTATTGTATATAAGAGAATGAGTAAATATGTGGGAAGATTATTCTCCCCTCGTGATGACCATGTCAAGAAATTCTTTTCAAATTATCCAATTTGTGGAATTAGAAATTTAGGAAATACTTGTTTTATAAGTTCAGTTTTACAATCTCTAGCTAACACCCAACAAATTCGGTCGTATTGTTTTCATCACTACAACCCAATTAAAGGAAGAGCAGGAGATAAGTCAGTATATCATGGCTCTCTTCTAAACGCATTTATCAATTTAACAAATGCCATCTGGTCAGGAAACTATAGATTTGTAACTTCTTTAGCAATCAAAGACATTGTATCAGAAACACATCCACAGTATGAAGGAAAGGATCAAAATGATGCACATGAATTTTTATTAATCTTTCTTGAAATGTTAGAAAACGAATTAAACACAAAAGATATAAATAATTTCTCTTCTTCTATTTCACCACTCCTTCTCACACCAATTCCTTGTAGAGGAACAATAAAGACATATTCTCATGAAAATTCTCCTTCAAAAATATATTATTCTCCATTTGAAGTTGAAATGAATGAGACTGAATCTGATGACTCATCTTCAGACTCTTATTTTTCAAAAAATCTTATTAGTGATGTTTTTAAAGGAAGAATTAAACGTGTAACTGAATGTTCAATGTGTCATTATAGCTCAGATATTTTTGAGGAATTTATTTCTTTATCAGTTCCAGTACCTCAATGGTATTCAAATGAAGCACATCCAATCTCATTAGAGAGTTGTATTGAATTATTTCTTCACTATGAAAATATAGATGATTGGTATTGTGAAAAATGCAACAAAAAAAGAAAGGCTAAAATATATTCAACTATCAGTGATATTCCTAAAGTTTTAATCATTCAATTGGTTAGAATATACTCAAAGAAATACCCAATTCAACAAGTTTTGTTTCCTTTAAATGATTTAGTAGTTCAAACATCCCCTAACCATTTCGACTTTTATGATTTATATTCTTTTATCGTTTGTTTATTTTAATTCTCCGTGTTTAAAAACTGGTTTATCAATATAGACTCATACAGGATCATTATCAAAAGGTCATTACATATCATGGAATAAAGTATCAAACCAATGGTACTGTTGCAACGATGAAAATGTCTCTCAAGGTAACCCTACCACATCATCTGATACTGTGTACATTCTTTTTTATAAAAGGAAAGTAAGTTGAACTGGTTATTCTGGTATCAGTCAAAATAGGTATGTCACAACCTATATTTCAAAAGACTTACAATTTGAATATTCAACTGAAATCTATAAAATCAGAACTTTTTCAAAATGAAAACATTAGGTTTCTCTCTACAAACCAGAAATTTCAGTTAGAAGAGTTAAATAAGAAATTAAAATGTTCTCAAGCTATTGTTGGGTTAAATCAAAATAATGAAGTTTGTGCTATTTTCAAATTAAGAAATTTGATTAGTGGGATTTATTTGTGGATATCAAATGAATGGAGTCAGTGTGATTGGATGGATCCAGTAACATATAGTAATTATCACAATGAATTTATGTTTTATCACATACAATCAACAAAACAAGGTGTTTCACGTGAATTTTTTGTGAGAGAGTGTTATTCATTAAATTTAAAATAAATAAAATTATTAAAAAGAAATAGTCAATTAATAGAATAAAATTAATTAAGTTTAATTAAAAACTGGTTATTGGAGTTTTTTCAGTATATTTTTCAATTAGTAAAGAGTTAATTTTCAAATTTAAAATCCAAGAAAATTCCTCGTATAATTGATTGGTGGAGTTTTAAATGTAAAATAATAAATCTTTCCAATAATAATAATTATTACTTTAGTAGATAAAATTTTATTGAAATCTAATAACAATATTAATAAAATTAATATTTTTTTCATTACTCTTAATATATTAATCTATTTATTGACAATAATACAAGAATAATTATTTTCACATATGTTATTTCTTTATGTGAGAGAAATTTTTCTTCAGTGTTTTAAAAATAAAAAACTATAAGAATAGAAAAAACGTTCCAAAAGAAATTTAAGTATTAGAACTTAATTTTCTCTAATACCAACTCAATGAAACAAATGACCTTTGATAAGTCGTATTTCAAAATGATCAAAGAGACATATGACAAACAAGAAGAACAAAATTTAAAAATCACTTTTGAACCTCCAAATTGTTATACTCCTCATTTTTCTCTTCTTCAACCACAAATTGAAGAAGACCCAGAAAGATATCTTATGTATAGTTCTGGAGATAATTATGCATCATCAATATTCTCTACATATCCAACAATAAATGAAGTAAAATTTGGGAAACCAATTGCTGATACACATGCAATTGATATCTTTGATAATTTTGTCATTGTTTCAATTGCCGATGGTTGTGGGATGGGAAATCTTCCTTCAAAAGCATCTAAAATCGCATGTCAAAAATTTAGAGATTATTTAGCTGTTGAATTAAATGGAAAAAAAACACCAAAACAAGTTGTTGATGTATTACTGAAAGCTGTTGCATATATTCAAACTGAATTAATCAATGGAGCTGAGGATATTCACTCAATTGGGTTGACTACCTTTTTAGGTTGTGTAATTTTAAAAATTAAAGGAGATGATGATAAATATGCGGTTGCTTACGTTAATATCGGTGATTGTAGAGGTATATTGATGAGACCACAAAACGACATTTGTTGGGAATTAGTAAGTGGATATAAACCAAGAATTGATGTTACAAATGCATGTGGAAGATTAGGACCAGCAGAATTAGATAAACCTGATTTAGGGAATTTTACATGTGGAATTAATATTTGTATGACTGGAGATAATTTACTTTTAATGACTGATGGAATATATGATAATTTTGATCCAAATGTTCTTGGTAAATCTCCTCAAGATTATGGAATTAATAAAATGGTTTGGGATGAAAGTATTCCAGAACATCGTAAAAAGAGAAATGAAATATTTTATTCATTGTTAAAAGAACTTTACACTTCACCATCTTCTGCAAAATTAACTCAAAGCATTTATGATTTTGTTGTTGAAAAAACTTCTGGTGCACGACAACAAAAAATTGATAACCAATTAGGTAAATATGGATTTAATATTGTTCCAGGTAAAATGGATCATTCGACTTTTGTTTCTTTAATTCTATCAGAAGAAATGTTTAAAATTAGAGAAGTAACTGAAGAAGAACTTGATATTCCACCTGATATGATGTAATTCTCAAACATTCTTTTTGACTTTTTTTTGGAACATATCAACTTACTCTTTTTTGTTGCTTTGATCTCTTTATTTGTTTATCATTCATATGTATCTCTTTTATTATTCATTTTAAAATCTACAAATTAACAATCTTATATTTTAACCGTCATAAAAAATCTTATTTTTCTCAAAAACTCTTTTAAGTAGAAAAATCTGAGAAAATTGAACTTGTTAAAATGAAAAAGAGAGGACATGATAAGTCTATTCAAGCAATTGAAACTAAAAGACAACAGATCCCAAAAGTTGTTTCATTTTGGGAAAAACAACGTTCTTTTGCCAATAACTTTAATCAAAAGATATCAGAACTATGTGATTTAATGAAAAGCCATGCAGATTTTCTTGAAACAGCAACGATTCAACAAATTACGGGATTTGATAGTTTGTTATAAAATTGCTTAATACTTCTTATTGGTTATGAAAAGAGATTGACCTTTTTATTAGAAAGTTGTCATTCAGAAACATTATTAGAGTCTTTTGTTTTTATAACAAATAGCCTTGAAGTTGCTGGGCAAGAGATTACTACTACTTTTGGAAAAACTGATGAAACAATTTCTTATTTAAAACAAATCAAAAAACTTTTTGAGAAAAATAAAAATCCAGAAACATTAGTTTCTGCTTATTATAAAATGAGTGAAAGATTAAGGTGGGAATCTCCACTTCTTTTTACTAACATCTTTCATGCATTTCAAACATTATTTTCTACTGGTGATTTATTTTTTAGTTGCAATGATACTTTGACAATGATTATTGAACAAGCTCAAAAAGCAAAACAAAATTATGTTATAAAAAATGTAGAACCAAAACCAAATGTATTATATTGTGGAAGAAGTTTAAAAGAGATATTAGAATCTGAAGGAAGACTTTATTATCAATTACCTCGTATAATAGAAAATATTTTGGTTTATTTGTACAACAAAGGATGTACTACCCATGGAATTTTTAGAGAAACTACTAATGCAAGTACCAAGGATGTTGAAGAAATTTATCACCGAATGAGTGTTACTGATTTTGAAGATCTTCCACCTGATGTTGTTGCTAATGTATTTAAAAAGTTTTTAAGAGAAATGAAAGAAAAAGTATTTCCATATGAAGTTTCAATGTATTTATTAAAAGAATGGCAAAAAGGAAGAGCAAAAACAAGAACAACTTCAGCAGAAAAAAGAAAAATCATTCTTGAAGCTATTAGAAAGATGCCATTAGAAAACGTTACATTATTAAGAAGTATTTTGAAATTATGTAGTAAAATTGATTCAATGTCTGATATAAATGCAATGACTAATAAAAATTTAGCTGTTTGTTTAGCACCAACTTTAATGACAGTTAGTGAAGATATAAATTCAAAAACATTAGACTTAAAATCTGGAGGAGATGTTGTTGGATGTATTGAGATTATTACTTTTATTTTAGTTGATTATCCTCATATTTATCCAAATGACGTTGATGTTAATGTTACTCGTAGATCAAGGAGAATGTCTCAAAGACTTGTCACTTGTCTTGCTGAAGGAATGAATGAAGAAGAAGAAATTTATAAAGGAATAGAACAAATGAAGAACAAAGAGGAAGGGATTCAACAGACAACTAATAAAAAAGAAGATATAATTCATCCTATAATGCCTAAACCATTGTTAGATGATATTAGGTCTTCCAGTGGTCATATTCAAATTAACGAGTCAAAAGATATAAATGAAGTTGAACCTTCAGCACAATTAACTCTATCACAAAAAGAAGCTCAACCAGTTTGTCAAAAAATGGTAATAAGTAAAACCCAAACCCAAGAAGAGTCTATTCCAAAATCTATTGGTAATAATTCTACTATTAATGTTGTTCATGTCCAATGTTGTGATGATACAAACATAAATAAAAGTTCTATTCCAATACACTCAACCAATAGTTCTATAGAACAGAGTAATGGCATTAATATTTCAGGAAATCAACCTAAAACAATAAAACTAAGTAAGGAATTTCACAAATCACCTAATAAAAAATTACCAATACCACCTCAGAAATGTGCTGATACACAATCAGTAGAATATAGTGAGTTACCACCACCTCCTTGTATGACTCTTTCTTCTCAACAACTAGAAGATGAAACCTCACAACCCCCACCACCAGTTCCACCAAGAAGATCTCCTAAGCCTAAGCCATGTAGTTATGCACCTCCAGCTGATTTTGCTTGAAAACTTAGTTGTTGACAAGTAATTCATCAATTAAAATAATAATTAGATAGTATTTCAATAATAAAATTAAAATAAAAGAATAATTTATTTTTAAATCCATAGAAAAACAAAAAAAGTACTAAAAAAAATAGACATATAAATCAATGAGCTTCTTCTCAAGTTTATGGAATAGAAACACCCGTCAACAACCAACACCTACAATTAATCCTGTTATTCAACAAAGGCAAGAACGGAGTAATAAAGTTATGACAAGTTGTTATTTAGATTTACATGATAGTGATACAGTAAATTTATTAACACTATTAAAACCAATGCACCAAATTGACTTTTTGATATTAATTAATGTACATTCATCTTTGATTAAAGATGAGTCAATTATTAAAAAAATTCAATTAAGTCATCCTCACATTCATCCACCATTATGTACATTTAAAAAAGAAATTCCAAGAACTTTAATATTTTCTAAGTTTAACATCATTGAAACTATTCCTTGTCCAAAAACACCCACTATCTTTGCACGTAAAACAGAGTTTGAATGTCAAATTATTAGAGTTGGAATAGAAGAAATTTATCCATCTGCATCAATTGGATTTGTTGTTTTTAATTTAGATTCTAAAGTTAATGACAAAGAAAATATTGTCGAAGATTATGTGCCTGTTACTCCATTTTTTATTAAACAATATGAATTAAATCTTATTGGTAAATTAGAGTCAACAATGAATATTCCGAATTACCGTAGAAGTGCTGTATTATATTTTGGTAATTTTCATGAAACTACTGTCGTTGATGAACCTATTACATTAGGTACTTTTGACCAATCTACATTAGATACTATTATTAATAATCTTATTGAACATAAAGAAACTATTATTGATGGAACTTCAATGATTGAACAACTTGAAAAACATCAAATTCCTGTGAAAAAAGCGCTTGGTATTATTTATTCTAAATGTGAGGAATTTATTGCTTTAAGGGCGGCAATTATTGCTGAAGCTGTTGCAATATCTATGAGTGATTATATTCATTCTTCAGTAAGACTTCTTCCTTATAAAGATATTGCAAGACAATACATTGATGAAAGTGTACTTGGACTGAATACAGCTTGTAAACTATGGGGATATTATAATGAACATATTGATAAAAATGAACCACAAACCGCAGCATATTTAAATCGTATTAATAAATCATTGTCAGAAATGAATCTTCCTATTGAAATAGAAAATACTGAAATTAATTTTGCCATGTTTCTTACTGCAATACAAAGATGGTTACATTTAAAAATGAAATCTCCAATTCTTATTTCATTACTTAGTGGTAGAGAATTAAGAGATATAACAGCAAATGATTTCCTATTTACAACAGAAGTTTGTTTTCCAAACTTCTCTTCTTCTAAATTAAAAGAGAGTCAAAGAATTAATGGGAATTTACTTGGTTTATGTTATGGTAATTTCTTAAATCATATGGGTAGTCTTGTAGAGTCTAATAGTGATTGTGCCCTTACTATCCAAAAAGATCTTCATATTCTTAACATGACTAATTTTCAAAGTAGTGACTATACTTCTAAATCACCATTTGCTTCTGTTCAGTGTTTACAATATTCTTTAATTCCTCAATCACTTCAATTACCTCCTTCAGTAGATGGACTATTTGTTCGTTTTGCGATTTATCCTCAAATCCAATAATTAGAAAATTCAATTAAATTTTAATACTTCTTTTTTTTATATTTGGAATTTTATTATCTTCTTTTTATCTCATTAAAACTTTTTAAAATAATTCTTTCATTTTTAATTCTTTGTTTCAGTCTTTAGCAAATAACTTACATTATTATTTTCTTATTGAAATTGAGTACTTTTATTTATTAAATAATAATATAACACTTTGTATAATTAGATTCTTTTAAAACTTGGTACTTTACTTACTCTAATCAAATTTATTTATTATTGCTTTGTTTAAAACCAGTCTAATGTTTTTTTTATTATTAACAAGAATTAACAGACATAATTCTGTTTAATTACTTGATACATAAAGAAAAAATACTTCAATTATTTTGGTGGTAAATTCCATCTTTTCTTTTGTGATGAATTAACAGTTGGTTGAGTAGTTTGTTCATTTGTTTGTAAAGACTCTTGTTTTGGTTCAAATTGATTAGAATTAAGACTTTGAAAGTGTGGTTGCAAGGAACTTTGAGGTGATTGATAAATTTGGGGGTTTGGAATAAATGATTCTTGTTTATATTCTTCAAACCTTAATGCTGGCTCATCTTTTTTAGTTGATTTAAAGTTAATTGGTTCTGAAATAAGAACTTGTTTTTCAACGGTTGATTCATTGATACTATTGGAAATTAATGCTTGATATGAAATACCATTTTGATTTAACATTAACATTTCATGACACCTTTGTTGTACTTCAATAGAATTAATTAAATGCTGATCAAATTGAACTTGGTCATTATTTTCTTCAACAATAGGTTGTTGAGTCTTCTGTGGAATATCCCAAATATTTAATAAATCAATTGGTTGACATTGTTGGGGTTGTGATGGTATTTGAACGTTATTATTGTCTTTATTGTTATTAGTATCGTTGGTACTTTTTTCTTTAAAAAGTAATGAATGAATAATTCCAATATTATTTGTTTGAATTGCAGCAACAATACCCTCTTTAACAGCACCTTTTTTAATACATTTAATAATTATTTTTCTTATTTCATTCATATCAAGTTCATTGAAATTATAACATTTTGAGATAATTAAACAAGAGAATTGTGCTAATGAAAGAGTTATTTCATCATAATTAATATTAATAACATTATAAATGTTTTGTAAAGCAATACCATAATTTGCTTCTTCACTTTTCATTGCTTCAATAAAGTTTGTGTAAATCATAGTCAGTTCTTCTTCACTCAATCCTTCTTGCATTGGTTCCACTTTATTAAATTCTAATATATGAATTACAATATTACAATACCATTCAAAATCTGGAGTATATTTCTCACAAATAATATAAACAACTTTCAATATGTGACTTCTAACTTTGCATTTATCAACATAACTTAATGTTTTCTTTACATGATCTAATAATGTTAATACAACACCTACAGCTTCTTCTGATTCAGTAATGTTATTAATTAGTTCAATAGCTTCTTCTACAACAGAGTCATTATCGTTATTTATAAATTTCATTATTGTGTCAAGATGGTTTTTACAAAGAACTGGATTTCTATCACTAATGACTCTCATTGTTTTTAATCCACAATAAATGATTAGTCCATCTTTCTTCTCAAATAATGTCGATGCTACTAATGCTGCATTTCTTAACATAACATCAGTTGGAATACACATCATCGTTGTTTTAATTAGTTCAATTTGCAATGCCATCCCAATCCCACCAGGAATGACTTTATATATTTCCATTAAATTTGCCATTGATTGTTGATAATATTTAGTACTTGGATTCATTATTCTCAATAGTCTTAATAACTTTATTTGAAGGTAAGGAGCACATACATCATTTATTTTATATCCTTTATATTGTGAGGGAATTTTTTTACTATTTTCATTTGAATAACCAGCAAATAATAATAAATAACGTAATGCTACATCAATAAGACCAGGCCATATTCTTCTGTCTGGAGTTGTTTTTGACATGATTTGTGTGATTATTGGAATAGCAGATTCAACTACAATCATTGACTGATCAACAAGTGCAACGGATAATGCTGATTTAATTATTGACTGAGAGTCATGATCAGATAATAAAAATATTCTATATAATGAACGAATTGATGCTGCACGAATATTTGGATCTTTTGATTTTAATAATTGATTAATATGAGGAGAGTATGCTGGCATAGTTGTTGAAGTAATAAATCTTGATAAAATACGTAATGCATATAATGGATTTGTTGATGTTGGACCAAGGAGTTTAGTTAATGAGTTAGTTAATAACAAAGAGAATTCGGAGTCATTTGGTATGATTGCTGAAGTAGCTATAAGAGCAGTTTTTTGTAGATTAGAGTTTTGATGTTGAGTTGAATTGATAATCATAAATAGTGATTGTTCTACGTTATATCCTAATTCATAAATATTCATCATTTTTTTAATATATTCCTTCATATAAGAAGGACTAGTGTTATTTAATCCATTTCCTTCTTCCTTTAATACTGAATTAACAAATTTTCTTTCTTCATCAGATGTACGTTTTTCTCCAATGTCATGAACAAAATTAGCATAAGTTCTATTCATGTTATGTTGTTTAAGAAAAGAGGTTGTTATTCTTTTTAAGATCCTTTTTATTGCAAATATTAAATCAATGTAACCACGTAATAATAATAGAATTGTAACACACATAATTTGGTAAATAAAAGATAGATAATAACATATTTCTTTTTAAGATCTTTTAGTTCTTTCTGGTTTTGTTCAATTTGATAATAACATAATGCAAGAACCACAAGAATATCATTCTCCCCACAGAAAGTTTTTACAGAAAGGGGTGTTGGTTTGTGTTGTAATTTTATTTATTATTTGTGGAACATTATCAATTACTTTATCAAAAACGTGTTATACATTACAAGCAGAAAATTTTGAGAATGATTTGGTTTATTTTAGAAAGCCATTATTCTTTAACTCCCTAATGTTCTTTTCTATGGCACTATGTACTTTCCCTTATTTATTGTTGAAATATGTTTTCAGTGATAAAATGTCAAAACCAAAAGAATATACAAACAAACATCTTTTGTATCTCTTCTTTCCTGCTCTTTTAGCATTCTCAGCAACATACTTACAAAATATTGGATTAGTTTATATTCATGGAAGTGTTTTTCAAATGCTTAGAGGTTCAGTAATCATTTTTATTGCATTATTACAATATTTCATTAAAAAAAGAAAATTGCTATTACATCAAATTATTGGTGTATTGATTGTTGTTGTGGCTATAGCATTAGTTGGTTCAAGTAGTTTTATGATTCCTTCAAATAAGAATCCAGGTGCAACAACACATTCTATTCATAAATTTATAGGAATATCATGTATTCTTTTTGCACAACTTCTTAATGCCTGTTCTGGATTAGTTGAAGAATCATTGTTACATGATGCAGAGATTCCACCGTCATTGATAGTTTCTGTAGAAGGATGGTTTGGAGTATTATTTAGTGTTGTTACTATATTATTCCTTCAATTTATGCCAATTCCAGCTGATACTTTAATTAAAGAAAATACAGCTGAAACACTTCTGATGATGGTTAGAAAGCCAACAATCTATGCTCTTGTTAATGCATATGTGTTAGTTGTTTTATTCTTTAATCTTACAGGAATGACTATTACGAGCCAAATAAATGCATTAACAAGAAATGTTATTGATCCTTTAAGAATGATTACTATTTGGCTTACAGGTTTATTTATTCATTATGTTATTACTAATAAACTAGGAGAGGCTTTGTCTTGGGCAACACTCATTCAGGTATTTGGATTTATTGTATTAGCTATTGGTTTCTTTGTTTATGCTGGAATTATTCCATTGCCATTTTTTGGTACTACAATAAAAACAGAAAATGAAAATATTCAACCTATACTTCAAGATGATGAAATTGATGAAAATGAAATGAATATTCATAAAGAAGATTAACCTATTGTTTGTGTTCATCTTTGTTTTGTTTAATAATTTATAGACAAATAAAGATATTTAATGATTAACTTTATTTTAAAGATAAAACGCCTTTTGTAGTTAAAGAAAGAAGTGACTCTTTTTCAAATTAAATAAAACCAAGTTAAATAAAGTGAATAATGTCAACTACTTTTTTCTTTTGACGATAAACTTAAATTATTTTTAAATCATTAAACCTTTCATCCTTCTATGAAATTTGTGATTTGAATATTTAATAAATATTATCTAAGAGAATAAAAAATATAATTGTAGTATCTATGAATAACTATTCATTTTGGAAAAGCTTAGAGAAAGAAGATAATAATATAAAAAAGTTAATTATAATATTATCTATATTAGACTATTTGGATTAAAATTTATTTACACTATATTTATTATATATCTAATTAAAAGCAATATTTTTAAGAGAAAAATAAATAATGATAATATCCAATTCCTTACTAAAATTTCTTAAAACTATTATATAACCTTTTCCCTGATTTTGTGTTAGTTAATACCTAATACCAATAAATGAAATGACAATATTTTCTGATGTTTCTTCAATGTCTTATGTTTATAAAGTTGTGTTTTGAGTTTATTAATTAGTATAAGATATTAATTAATCTTTAACAATAATTAATGATTTGCGAAATGATTTTTATTGAATAATAACTAGTAAGATAATCTGCAACTTTATAACAATTTTTTAGACATTGTTAGATATTTCTTCTTTAGTCTATTTACATTAAATAAGTATGATATAATTAACATTTTTAAATAATACATCAGGCAACAAATGAATTATTTTCTTATTATTCAGAAGCAATGGGTTGAGAGATAATCTATCCAAAGATAATTTTAATTTGAAATTTTGAACAAAAAGTTGATTATTTCAAAAATTATTTTTCCAGAATTAACACAAAAAATCTTTCATTCCATAAGAATCTCTAAAATATCATCAGACTTTTTTAAACTATTTTGTGCATTCAGTTTTTGCTTATTAGTATCAATAAATCATAAATTGTTCATGAAATAATTCTTTCATAAATATTTGCTGGCATCTATCTAAACAAATAAGTATAATAAAGGTTTATGTCTAGTAAAGTCGTAAGACAATATTTAGAAATTCTATTTATTGGTATATGAATCAATTCTATATTAACTAACATAGTGGAATTAAATAAAGGGTTCAAAAAAGTATCGAGTGTATAAATATACATTAAAAAGTTCAATATTCATTTCATAAATCAAATATATCTTATATTTGATTTTCAGTGTTAATACTAACTTATAAAATATTCATTACAACCAACTGTACGACTAAAACCAAAGACAAAATAATGATAATTAGTAAAACCATTAATAAAATAGAAGAAGAAACAATTAAAAGTATTTCATTTGAAGGAGAAACAAAATTATCAATAAGATTTGATCCAGATTAAATCAAAGAAGAAAAGTGAATATGGGAAGGATCATTCAGAGTTTAGTATTTTAGAGAGTTTAGAGTAAATAAAGTATTAATGAAGAAAATGAAACAAACTAATTGTAAATTAACGAATTTTAGAAGTGCAAGAAACATCCATATGAAGATAACAAATATAATGTTGACAAAAGGACAAGTTTCTATAAATTAAAATGACTACAAAAAGAAATAATAACATGGTGTTTGGATAGTTTATAGAGATAGAAGTTAAATTAAAAAAGGAGAGGTTAAATTCAAAGAAAACTAAGAATAAACTAGAAACATAAAAGTACAAAGAAGATGAAAAGAGATGATAAAAGAAGAGGAGTTAGAAATAGAAGAAAATATAAAAAAAGGATATAAAAAGAAAGGAAAAGAATAATAATAATAGCAGAAGAATTAAAAAGATATAGAATGGAGGAAGAACCAAAAAAGATGATAAGATGTATAATATAAAAAAAGAATAAAACAATAACATAAAAACTATTTTATTTTGTTTTTAAGGTTAGTAATAAATAATTCTTATAAATAACGAGTTTTATAACTACTAAAGAACTGCAATGAATAAAAATTATTACAATATGAATTAGGAAAAAATCCTGAAATAATAAGGATTATGGATAATAGAGTTACTTAAAGAAAAACTCACCTGACACGAAATAACAAGAAAAGTTTTTTTGAAGATTTTAAAAAATTCATAAAAAAAGGTAGTTGAAGGTAATGGCAACAGAAAACAACAAATCAGAAAATAGTTTGAATATCTTTATGGGACTAAATTAAACATTAACTTTTTACTCATTTTGGTAGACTTAACTAAATTTATGATGGATTTATTCCCAGACCAAAAAGAATGTGATCAAGTATTAATGGAAGTTACTAGTGATGATGTAGCAGCAACATGTGTAGAAGATTTAAAATTTATTGATTGGAAATGTATTGTTGGAAAATTAACAGTTAAACAAAGAAATATTATTGCAGCAAAAATAAAAGAGGTATCAACTGCACAAAGAAGACAAACAGAAGTATTAAAAATGACAGGCAATGTTATTAAAATGAATCTATTTAAACCACCAAAATTTGCATATTCTATGGATTATAGATATTGGACTGTAGAGCAAACATCTGCATTTATGATTAAAACAGGTGTTCCAAAGACAGCTGCATATGCAGTAAAAGATTTAGATGGTATTAAATTAGTAAATTTTGATGAAAAGAAATTAGGATGGTTTGAAGGATTTAAAATTAAAGGAGAAATATTAGAAAAAATTCATACAGCTGGAACAATTGCACAAAAAGAATTTGCTGCAACAGTTATTACTCGTGCAGCAAGACAATTTGAATTTAGAAAAATGAATAAATTATATGCATATAGAACTAATGTTGCACAAGAGTTATTATCTACTGAAGAAAGTTATGTTCAACAATTAAATTTAATAGTTAAATTATTTGCTGAACCAGTTATGACAAAACAATTAATTACAATGGACCAATACAAAAAAATATTTAGTGACATTCAAATGATTCTTTCTGTTAATGAACAATTTCTTCAATCCTTCCAAAAAGTTATTTCTCAATGGAATAGTGAATCTAAAATTGGTGGACTTTTTATTAAATTAGCTCCATTCTTAAAAATATATGGAGAATATTGTAAAAATTACCCAGAAGCTTTAAAAGTATTAAAAGAACTTGGAAGTGGTCATGAATTTTTCAAATTTTATTATTCACAAATAAGAAATAATGCACCTGATGAATATAAAAATTTTGAATTAACATCATTCTTGATTACACCAATTCAAAGAATTCCAAGATATAAATTATTGTTAAATGATCTTCTTAAACATACACCACAAAATCATCCAGATTTTAAAGATTTATCAAATGGATTTAATATCGTTTCTCAAGTAGCAATAAGTGTAAATGAATTTTCAAGACAACATGAATATATTGATAAAGTTAATGAATTAAGTGAAAGAATAACTGACTTACCGTCTGATGTTAATTTACAACAACCAGGTAGAATCTATCAAAAAGATGGTATTGTATTAGCATTATTTAAAAAGAAATTTGTTCCATGTCATTGTTTATTATTTTCTGATGTGTGTATATTTGCTCAATATAAAGAAGCTATGTTATCTAAAACATTAAGTAAAAAATTTACTTACAAAACTCATTTTAATGTAATTGATATGAAGATTGAAGAAGTTAAAGAAGAAGAAATGCCAAAAACAAAAGAACTTACACCAGAAACTACTTTAAAAATTACTTCAGGTAAGAGTCATATTTTTGTTGGTTTAAAGAGTAAAGCAGATAAAGATGAATGGTTTAAAGTATTTGAATCAGCTTACGAAAAAGCAGTAGAAAGAAAGAAAGTCTTTGAAGACAAAGCAATTGAAGCATCTAAACAAAAAGCTGAAGTTGCTAAAAACATGTTAGATATTAAATATCAATCATTAAGAACAACCCAAACAAGAAAATGGTCAGAAAGAGGTAAAAGTGTAGCTCAAATGAGTTGTGTAGAAAAATGGAGATTAGCTCAAGAAGCAAAACAAAGTATGGCAGAAGCAGCTGTTCATTCTAGAGTAAACAGTTCAATTGATATGACTGTATCAACTCCAGTTTGTTCAAAACAACATTTATCGTCTGAAAGTAATATATCAGAAAATCTTGTTCAATCAGTTTCAATTCCTTCATCTCCAAAACCAGATAGTAAATGAAAACAAAATATTAAAAAGAAATTTCAAAAAAATGGATTTAAATTAAAGACTAATCTTTCTTTTTGATATTTAAGGTTGTTTCATTTTCCAATTGTTCGATCAAATCATCATCATGAGTATGTGGTAAGTCAACTGGAATAACAATAATTTTCTTTGAAAGAGTGTCTCTTAAAATCGTTTGAATCTTCTCTTTAGTTGCTCCATTTGCAGCAGCACAACCAACACATTTACCACTATATTGAATATATACGATAATTTCACCATTTACTCCATCCTTAACTTCATATACTTCTACACTTCCACCATCTTTTTTAACAATAGGATCTATGTATTGTTCAAATACTTGATTCAACTTACTAATCTTTTTAACCATTGTTAATTTCTCAAAGTCATTTGAATTGCAATTAACTTTCATCTTCTCAATTTCCATTTCAGCCCTAGTCTGTCTTAAGATATCCTCAAGATAATATTTCTTCTCTTCATGTCCTCCAGGTCTAACACATGAACCACAAAATGCTCCTGCTTTTGTATAATGTGTTATATCTTCTACTGTTTTCAAATCATTAAGTCTAATAGTGTCTTTAATTAATCTTAAACTAACACGTGCACAACTACAAACAATTTCTTCATCATCTAAATCCTCGACGTTAACTCCTTTATAAAGAGAAGCGGCTTTCTTAACAACATCATAAGACATAACAGAACAATGCATCTTTTGTGGAGGAACAGCTGGTACGTCAGGAGAATCTCTCATAGCACGTTCAACATCCAAATTAGTGATTTTCAAACACTCATCAACAGTTTTA